TTTGTTTTTTTTTCTCCTAATTTCAAACAGAATATAACATTCAGCACAATAAGTGCATTCAGTGGCATAAGCTGAAAACTTTACAATTATTTCCTTGAAAATGAGGATCCTTGTAAAGGCAACCTTTAGATTAATAATTACTTTTTGGAAGATATGAGATCATACTCACCTGTCCATCATTAAAAAAAAGCCGATAGAGTTGTGTCCTGACATAAAATACAATCACTGTAAGTTTTGGATATTACTCCCCCCCCCCCCCCCCCCTCAAAAATAAATAAATATCCATCTTATATAGTTATCAGAAACAATACTCCATCCCCGTATAACAGATTTTCTAACTTCTACGGTGCAGCAGATGTTGCATTAACTAAAAATTGCAATGTTGTATCACATAAATTGCTACCTATATTGTTTTTGTGTGTTTGGTCAGTTGTCTTAGGTGGGCCATGAAACAAGGCCTTCATTTTGGTGGGCCACTGGTGCCAAATATTTACGGAAGACGGCTTAATCAGATGCCTTATTTTCAATGCTGCTCCTTCACTGCACAGCACTAAGAGTTTTGCAGGCTTCATGTTTTGCACATGATCCTGCCCTCATATGGATGCCGGAACCTGGGGGCTCAGGTCTCTCAAGCCTGTCTCCCCCTCACCATAAATTTGTAAAGAAGAGGCTAAGGTACCTCTTTTAACCATGTAAAGAAAGTCTCTTTAAAGGTATCTGTTTATGTATTGCATATTATTTCAAATACATTATTAGCTTTACGTACAATTTGGTATATCACTACTACTACTAATATTATCATGCTCCTAAACTAAGATTTGCTGGTGTGGCTAAGCACTTCCAATGTTTGTTTTTTCTATGCCAACACATTTGTTCCCCCCTTTTTTTAAGAATGTTCTTGACATGTCTTGTTTGTATGATTGTCTGTAAGCACAATTAATATACTGTTAACATGGTTATAGGCTGCTGTATTTCCAGTGACTGAATAGTACATATAGTTCAATAGTAATTGTATATGACCAGATAAGAGTCTAAAACAAGGCTGGTAGGAAAATAATGAAACCCTACCAGTAAGGATCAAACATGAGAGTACTGTGCTGGTTGGCAAGTGTACTACCCATTGCATTAACCAGGACTCTTAACTGTGTAAGACAGCTATTTTGAATAATAATGCAGAACCATTATCAACTAAATTAATATAATGCCAAAGGTGATAAATATTTCCTTAAACTCTGATGAGCAAACATGATCACACAAAAAAGAAAAAAGAAAAAAAGGATTTAGGATCTTGAAATGGTAATCTTTGGGGAATCAAAAGCAGTGTAATCTAATGAAGACATAATGACATAAATAAACACATCTTTGAAAAGAAATTGGAAAAAAAATACTAAATATCCAAAATATTAATGGCCATCATCTTCAGTCAATAAAAAAAAATTATGTTATCGAAATCGGCATCTGTGGTTTAGGCGTTGCGAACGTGCTTCACAATGCCGGGGTGCCGGGTTCAGTCCCAGCTGCAGGCCTTGCGTTGATTTCAACAGTGGTATCAAGAGCTAATTGTCCAGAAAGCAATGGCAAACTAATGTACGTAAACTTGCCTAGAAAAACCACAACAGCCAAAAAATGCTGGGTTTGGTGCTGCAAGGTCCTGTAAAGGATATGCAACTAACTCTTTTACTGAAATGCTAAAACGTCTATGTGAAAATTATGCAAGAATTAGAAGTTCAAGGCACATAAGAAATAGATGACAGAAGTAAAGGCACATAAAGACAAGGTGATAGTAATAGCCATACAAGAAATAGATTGTCAAAAAGTCTAATGAGGTTTTCTTTAAACATTTACTGCAGTAAACTTCCAGTAATGTGACGGTACTTGACCAACATGAATATCTGAACAGGGGTATGCACTAAGCTGTTAATCTAGTAGTTAAGAAACCAGTTATGTTTGAACCATTACTGCTAATGAACAAATTAAAACAACAGTCTGCAGAATCATGCACATTGCTCTGAACTAGGTTAAAATTGTAAATGAAATTATATTTACAATATTTAATAACTCATTAACATATATTATTTGCTTTTTATTGTCACTTACATTTGTCTAGATCATAATTTAATGATGTTACATTGACACCTGGTGGGTACGATTATATATCAGAACAAAATTTCAGACATTATATAGGGTAAAAAATAGCTTTTATGTCATTGCAACATTTCTTTGCTACATGTAATCATTTCATCAAAAACACTGTTTTTATGGCAAAAGGGAAGGAAAGTAGTTAATTGTTTGCTCCTTTATATTTGGTGACTACTTCCCTTCATGTAAAAAAATACCTTTGACTAAAATAAGTGACTAAAAATATAAAAATATATTTTGTTTAGTGACTTGAGGCTTGCGATGTTGCAGTGGCCATCAAACCTGCCTGTCTGCTATGTGGTCATAGTTATTCACCTCCAGGATTTTGTTTAAAAACTGACCACATTTCTTCTTGTTCTTACTCTCTTTTAAAGTAATTTTGGAAAGAAGTATTATTTTATTTTTCACAATATTTTAGTCCTAGGGGATTTAGCATTAGAGGTCCAAGGTGTAGTAAAGAGTCAGAAAATTAACGCATCTTGCGTACATTGGGTTTCTAGGTAGGAACCCATAAACAACATATGATGCATTTTTTGGGACTGAAAGAGTTAAGATTCTTACAAGGTGAAAGGATTAAGACATGTACAGATTTAAAAAAAAAAACTAGTAAAAAGCAGAATATTAAAAAAGGAAAAAAGAAAAATACATCAGAATATCATAAAATTAAGCATCAGCAAAATATATTTTCAGACTTCAATATATATAAATATATTAAAACACACAAAACAGCATCTAAATGGTGTTATTTTATGTTGTTGTTTTCATACTATTACTGGATTGTAGTCCATTTTCATAATCCCGGATGAGCAGCCACAATTTGTAATGAACCTCCTTTATAGTTACATTTCTTTCTTTAGTTCTGGCTCCTATATTTCATTTCCCTCTCGGAAGAGGTATTGCCACTTCAGAGGCTTTTAAATCCATCATGTTTGGACACATTGCCACTTAAGCCAGGCCAAGACAAGTAACATATAAAAACATTTGGTCTTTGTGATGATTTGATAACTGATTATGTTTATAATCATTTAATTTACTTTTGAGCAAAAACTGCCTACAATCCTGAGCTTGATCCAGTTTCAATTTATGCTGTGAAAGTATTTTCAACTTTACTGCAGGGTGTTACAAACTACCTACATCTATGTGCAAATAGATTTTAAACATTACTCCCTCTCATACACTTTCTTTTATCTCAGAAATTGAATTATACCAGCATAGAAAAAAAAAGCTGTAAAGGATTACTGCCACAGATAAAATAACAACCAACCATTTTTGGAACTCCAAAATGGTTAGTTAATACTGAGTAGAATTTTCCTTTGTGTTTCCTGAAAGTATACAATTTTTTTTCCTTTAAAACCCCTTTGCTGATCACAAATGGAAATTCCCCACCTGAGGAACACCAGAAAGGAAGTTGAAAGGTTCAGAAACCTAGTCCCATTCATTCATACAATATGAGTATGAATGGCTGTGATCATGTGGACCAAATAGTCTCCTATTACAGTAACTATACTTGCAAAACTAGAAAATGGCGGGAAACAGGTTTTCACGTGAATCATGGAAGTGACACAGGTCAATGCTCATATCTTGTATGTGTTATGCCATCCTGCTGCACCCAAGCAAATGAGTCTTGTACAATTCAAAGATAAGCTCAATAAGAAACTAGCTGCTCTTTCAGGTCATGAAGTTCCAAGAGACATGGTAGCTGCTCTGGCTCGTAGACCAGGCAGAAAGCCAGCTTTGCCAATGTCTGACAGTGCAACAAGAAACAGGTTCAAAATGCAGTAGTTATTACTGTGTAGAATGTGCTTACAAGCCTCTCCTGTGGCCCAATCCATGTTTTAGGAGAAACTGGTAAAGATGTATAAACTGGACATATGTTTATACTTGTGTTTTCCATGTAAAACAAATGAATCATGGTGAACTAGTCAGATGGCCTGCCACTTTTTTTTTTTTTTTACTATCGCTCATCCAGACTAGTTTGTTGCACTATATCTTATTTGATTATCTACAGATCACAAGCTATCAGCCCTTTTGTGATCCACCCGTGGTTATCATTCATAATGTAACATCACAATTGAAATATACAGTTCATGCACACTAATATTCTCTAACCAATCTTAAATTTTATTACTGTTATATAATGTTTAAGATCGCCTAGCTATTATTCCCACTATTAGTTGGTTTGCTACTAGTAATAGTTAGACAACTCATACACATGTCTTCTCTCATCAACTTTCAAACCTCGACTGCCTAGCCACTAGCTGACTGTATTTTCACTAGCCTTTTCCACACATTCATTATTTGGTCACTTCTCACTTCAGTCTTTAACCTAATTTCATTTGGCAGCAAAATTGAGTAATTTTAGTAAAAATAAACTTTAACTATTGTATACTTGTTTCCACATAAATATAAGTAATGTAAGCTGTTTTTATGATATTCAATGATGAAAGCAATATTTTAAGCTAAGTTACATCTCATTTTTTAAAAAAAAACTCTTGTATAGTCAATCAGTATCTGGTTAAAAAAGTAAAATCTGGAGCCATCTTTAGTGTATGCATCATATGTGCTAGTAGTCACAGCTATACCACCAATATATTATGTGTAGGGTCACAGCTTTACCAGCAATATATTATGTGTGGGGTCACAGCTTTACCACCAATATATTATGTGTGGGGTCACAGCTTTACCACCAATATATTATGTGTGGGGATCGTCTTCTGCTGCTTGGAAATGGTCAGATGGCTGTATTAATTGTTAGTGTTAAACTCACCCAGTAACTCTTTTCTATGCCCATTTGAGATTCTTACTCAAACTTTCTTATGGTAATTAATTAAATGAACAATAATCTTCAGCGTTACTCAGACTTATTCTAAACCAAATCCTTCTGCATTGCTAATTGCTGTTATCAGCTTCTGTTTCAGAATCTTCTTACTGCTGTATGCTGGCAGGACAAGCTGGTTGAAGCATGTATGAGACATGGGCAACCTGCAACACAGTGTAACAGTATTTAGCTGCATGACACAGGAATAAAGCAAAATCTGTTAACTTCAAACAAGACCATACAAAAACCATATTTATTTAGGCCACAAAAGTGATGTGTAAATAAGTGTGGTTAAGCAGAAAGTTGAACTTTTCATAGCAAAATTTTTTTTTAAATCAAGCAGTGATCATTAAGACAAAACTGGCACAATGATTTTGATCACAGGAGTGAGGGAAAGTTAACGTCACTGTGCTACTATGTATAAGGAGATGCTCTGTACCTCACATTGGGCACCAGTAGGCTCTGTGCTGGTTTTAGAGACCCTCATGCATGACTTCTGCCACATGTCCTCATTATGCACCATGGATAATGGCCTATACTGGCCTAAACCAAAATGGCAGGGGATCTCAGAGTTGGCGACCCCCAGAGACACTTCTCTTCTTCTTTTGTCAAAATCTGCTTGTGCTGCTAGGCGTCGCAGTCTATCAGATGATCGGCAACCGAGCCAGGGCGCGCTCAGTCGCTTCATATGCCGTGATGTTATGAAGTCTCAAGTTGTCAGTGACTCCTTCAATCCATCTTCTTCTTGGTCTTCCCCTGCCTCTTGGTGTTTCGATTTTCAAGTTGTATGCTCTTGATGCTGGCATCGTTGGTTCCATTCTCATTAGGTGACCAAACCATTTCATTTTTTGAGACCCAGAGACACAATGTCCAAAAAATCCTATGGCACTTATCAGCCCGCCCCTAATGCATGGGTGATCACATCCATTAAAAACTCGTTTGGAACATGAATGAAGTTCGTTGGCCATTGGTTCCAATGTTGACTTGAAGTCCTACTATTCGAAAAACCATGGTTTAAATGTCTGTTGACAGAGAGTCCTGTTAAATGGCTACTTTGATTCAAAATGTCCATCCATCAAGGGTAGTATAGTGTGAAAGCAAAGGTTCAGGTGTCTTTCACTCAAAGATCTTACTTTATGACACAAAAAGCTTCAAACATCTGCTACATGGCCACACTCGTAGAAGTGTAAAGACTTTATGGGGAAGCTATGCCTGACACATGTTGCCCATAAATTCAGGACAAATTTCCATGGAGCATTTACATGAAAGGTGCCATTGGCAAAGATAGAAATATGACATGCTGAGGAAGCACAATGACTATCCTGTGAAGATTCAGATCTGCTGATTGCTTTCTGTGAATCCTACATGGGTGCAGCATGTCGAGAGTTGAAGGTCTAATAAATGAATGTGAAGGTAAACAGTCATGTGCAGAAAGTGATGATTCCTTAGGTGAGCCCAGTATTAGAGCACCATTCCTTAGGTGAGTCTAATATCAGAGCACCATTCCTTAGGTGAGTCTAATATCAGAGCACCATTCCTTAGGTGAGTCTAATATCAGAGCACCATTCCTTAGGTGAGCCTATTACAGAGCACCATTCCTTAGGTGAGTCCAGTATCAGAGCACCATTCCTTAGGTGAGCCCAGTATTAGAGCACCATTCCTTAGGTGAGCCCAGTATCAGAGCACCATTCCTTAGGTGAGCCTAGTACAGAGCACCATTCTTTAGGTGAGCCCAGTATTAGAGCACCATTCTTTAGGTGAGCCCAGTATTAGAGCACCATTCCTTAGGTGAGCCTAGTACAGATCACCATTCCTTAGGTGAGTCTAATATCAGAGCACCATTCCTTAGGTGAGTCTAATATCAGAGCACCATTCCTTAGGTGAGCCCATTATAACAGCAATATGTATCAGCTCTGCACTAATTAAAGCCTGCTTGGATGATGGGGGAATGCCTATGTTCTGCCCCTCTCTTCCCTTCTGGGCCCACCAGTCTGCCCGCTGCTGATTACTGACAGCTTTACATCATCATAGCATGGAAAGATATCAACACATGATTTCAAATATTCAGCCAGAGAATAGAGACTGTAGAGAAACTGACTCAACAGCGTTGACCACCTACAGCCGGCTGACAAGGCACTTGACAATGATGTTGATTACTATCAAGGTTACTAACCAGTAAAGGAGCAGCCTGTTTAATGATAAAAGAGCTATAAAAGATTTAAGCTGGCAAACCTTACTTACAGATTGACATCATCAATACGAGAAATCTTGAAAGTCATTTCGCTGATGCCCCCAATAGGTATGCGATCACTGCCTGTTGTAAATAGCAAAAGTCGTTTCTGTGTTTCTATGGGAAGATGCAGCACAACTTCCCAGAAGTTCCTGTTAGGTAATTAAATATGTGTTAGTACTAACAAGTAAATAAAATATGAGATCCTGAATGTGGAATGGGAATATGCATATAGATTTTTTTCATGGTATGATGTGGCATTACATATGTATGTGAGTCACTGAAGAAAAAAAATTGATTTTAAACTAAAATGTTATATATATATATAAACACACACACACACACGCAAGCATGTATGTATGCATGCATGTACACACACATACACAAACATGCATGAAAGCACGCATGCACACACACACATTCTTAGAATATCATGGATCAAGAAGAAGAAAAAGAAAGACAAGGCATCCTACATGATCTGAGAATGAAGAAAAATTGGCTCACAAACAGCATATTGTCCCAAAAGTTGATGTATTTTGGCCATGTTAAACATCATGGTCGCCTAAAGGGAGTGGTGATGGAGGGTACATTTTCTGGAAAATGAGGCAGAAGCAGACCTCTGTGAATGTGGATGCAGGACACTGGCATTGGCTATAAAAGAACAGAGGGCAGGAGAATAAGCTATAGAAAGAGCGAGGTTCTGTAAAGGACCTGGTGGTTGATGATGATGATGTGGCATTACATTGTGTATAAACGAGGCACTAAAGGGTAAATATATTTCTGCAAGTGCTTGCATGTGTATGTTATTTTTGCACATGTGCACATAAACATATAACATACAGTACTCATCCACATAAAAGTACTTTTATAAATTATTGATAAATATATAATATAAGTACTGATTTGTACTGTTTATTGTTATTTGTACATCTCTAGAAATAAATCTGAATATACTGTATTTACAGAAAGCAATTTGTCTATAAGGTCAGAAGTACCTTTTTGGTAAACAATTAACATTTCTCTGCCTCTGCCTCATCTACCATCAGTCACTACAGTCATCACATTCTCCATAGCCCCTCTTTCTCTCCAAATGACTGAAGAATGCAGTTTGTCTCTTTCTTCTCAGCATCCACAGCATCATAGACAATAATACTCAGCATCCTCACAGACAACAGGACTCTTCGAGTTGATGTCGCAAGTGTCACGATAGATGGTAGAAATGTCAACAGAGAGATCAAACTAAAGTATCTGGGAATCCCTTTTTATAGGAGCTTGTCCTTCAAGGACCATGTGGAGATGGTTGTGACAAGATGTCAAAAGGGTCTCAATGCACTTAATGGCTGCAATGGACAAAGAGCAGAGAATGCTTTTCACACTGTGTAAACACTTGGTCCTCTCAGTGACTGATCATGGATTAGGACTGCTCACTGTCTGAAAAAGCCAGCAGGTTAAACTACAGCACATACAGAACACAGCTATGTGGGTTATTTTGGGATGTACCAGAGACACCCCAGCAGTGTGGTTTGCCGACCTGTTGTAGGTAGGCTCAAGGTGCTGAAGGAGAAGTCATACCTTGGGGTAGTTGCAGACACTGATCACTCTTTGCATGAAACACTGGATGCAGTTAAGGGTCTGCCGCTGACGAGAGGGAAGTCATGGATGGTTCAGGTGGAGAAAACGATCAGACAGGTTTGCATCGTGGAGAATATTAGGCGAGGAGAAGAGTTGGTCAGAGTGCCACTGGAACAGTCAGACATATGTAGAGTCATAATCACATTGAGCCGAGAGTAAAGTGAGTGGCCAGTAATTCAGCAATTAATTCAGGATAATGCTTGCTTTGGAATTGTGATTATTTATACGGATGATTCAGTGTTAAGAGGCAAAAGAAGTACCTGAGGATTCTTAGCAAAGGTTAATGGTCAATGTTTTGTGCAGAAGAGCCTAACATATGATACCACAACAACCAGCTTAAGAATGGAGGTGGAGTTGGTCACCACAACTTTCTGCTGGCTAAAGAACATGATAACACACATGATTGTAACTGAGTCATAAAGCATGCTGAGGAAAGTGAGGACAGGCATGCTTCATACAGACTGAAATGCTTCACTTTAGAGGTCAAGGGTGAAGAGCATTGTCTGGATCTTTTCTCTGGGTATGTTGGTATGTTGGGAAATGAACAGGTGGACAGATTAACTGGCTCTGCACAACTTGATGGAATAAGGCAGATGTGGATAATGCCTAAGGGAAGCATGTGTACAATTTGAAACAGCAAACTGATCATCACAGTCTGGTGACAGTTATGCAGTGAGGTGTGACAAGCGACTCTGGCTGATACTTGATGCTGAGAGGAAAGGCAAGACGGAATATATAATCAGACTGCCACTGGCTGCTGAAATTAGGGACGGAGTGCTTATGGGAATGCCTTTGGTGCTATGATGTCAGTCTTGAATAAAATCATCCCTGTATGATTTCTGGGCCCCTATTGTGGGGAAATCAAGAACAGACCCTTTGCTTACCCAAAAGTATGTCGTAAGAGTCAATAATTTGGAGCTTCCTTTGAAATCAGAGTGCATCGGCCTGAGAGGCAAGTAACCAACTGTCTGCTTACAAATCAGGTAGATCTGTAAACTGGATGTGCACGCAACACACAGGTTCTGGAACAAGGCTAAAGTCAGAAGGCAGACAAATACTCACAACTTTCCGCCGGAGTTTACAGCTGGTGAATTAAAAAAACCATTCACCATGCTTGAGGACCTTGATTTTGCAGATGATATAGCGCTCCTATCACATAAACATGAACATATACAAGAAAAAAAGTAACAGACTACACAGCACAGCAGAAATGGTGGGACTGAGAATAAATACAAAGAAAACTAAGATCACGACAAGCAGTCCAAACCAACAACCAGTGACCATAAATAACCAAACTCTTGAAATGTAGAACATTTCACAGATCTTGACAGTGTGGTGGAGGGGCCAAAGAGGACATACAGTCATGTCTGAACAAAGCTAGAGCTGCTTTTGGAAGGATGAGGCAAATCTGGAAATCCAACAGTTACTGCAGAGGAACGAAACTCCGACTCTACAAGAGCATCATTTTGCCAGTTCTTCTTTATGGAGCGGAATGCTGGAGAATGACCAAAAAGGATGCACACAAGCTGTCCACCTTCCACCACACATGTCTACGAAGAATTATCAAAATTTTCTGGCCAGATACAATATCAAACACTAAACTACTTCAAGTCACAAACCAAGAAACTTTAGACAGTATGATAACCAAGAGAAGATGGAAATGGCTTGGCCACATTATGAAAATGAATCCTGATATACCTGCCAAAACAGCTCTCATATGGATACCAGAGGGAAAGAGAAAACAGAGCGCCCAAAAATAACATGGAGACAAACGATGGAAAGTAACCTGAGCGGCATCTTTGACATGGAAAACTGCACTGAAGATTGCACAGGACAGGAAAGCATGGAAAGTCCTCTCTGAAGCCTCTTGTGCCACTAGGCATAACGAGAACTGATGATGATGAACGTAAAAAAGAAAAAGAATCAAATCAAACAAACATCATCAGCTTTTATTTTCACTGTTAAGCACGTGGGGAGCAATAGGTTTTTTTTCCCCATGTGTAGAAACTGTGTTGGATATTTTTGTGACTGCATTCCAACAAGATGCCCAAATCATTAGATCTGGTTAATTTACTGGCTCTCCTTGGATGTCTAATCTCACAAAGTGTTGAGTTTATTTAAGTGAGCCTCTGATTATGTCCAATTTGGGCATTTGTAGTAAAGTTTTTAAAATAAAAATACTGTGTATTTTATGGTTCTTAACGGTCATTATTATGTTTGCATGTCTCAATAAAGGTGTCAGTTGGTACATAATGTTTTAATTTCATTAGCCTTGCAATTAATATTTATTTTGGCTGTCCATAATATTTATAACTCACCTCAGAAACCTAAATTCTTATTTCTCTAAGCTCTACCTAATTTATTTATTCAGAATCCAAGATTCACTGGCATAAAACAACAAAGGTTAGATAACATTTAATTCTTTTTTTCTCTCTCTCTCTGGATCTGCATAAAGTTAAGAACGCTCTCTCGTAATAACATAAACTCAGTACTCACTTAATAACTGTATCACTAGCAGTAAACCCATCATAGTTGGTAACCTTCTTTAAGTCTTCCATGACCAGGGTAGGGCTGCCACATACCAGATTCTCAACCTCTTCAGGTCGCAACATCTAAGAATCAAATATAAATATATTTTCTCTGAAAACAGTATAAAGGTATGGAAGGATATACAATAAAATACAAGGAAAAATCCAACCAAACAAGAACCTGTCTTAACTCTTTAAGGCCTGAGCAAGGCTGTGAGAGTTAACTGAGAAGTTCTGTTTTGCCCTAACAACACTGATAGCGTCAATCGTGTGTCCCATACATATTGTTTCGTACATGGCTCCGTATTTGTTTATAATGTTTGGAACTACCATTAAAGTATTCAGAGAAGGTTACTCTAATGATTTCCTATTAATAACATTCTGTATCCCAAGAAACATGTGCATAGATTGATAGGATTTATAGCTACGTTATTGTAAATAGTGCATTTTCTAAGTTTGTTTTCGAGTGCCATGAATACCATCGTTGCAACGATGAGTACAGGTCACAGAATGCATCTGTCTGTGGCTGAAGCTCTGAAATTGTTTCAGTCAGGTGTTTTTAATTCTGATGATAAAAATTTAGATTTTTCTGAAAGTGATTCGGCAGTGAATTTTCACCAGCGGCAACTAAGCGATCAGCTGTTTGGGAATCTAGCGATTCTGATGAGTTTACACAGACAGTGTAAGAGAAGGAAAGTGCTCCAAACAAATAGACAGTATCTTACTATGGCAAAGCTACATTGAAATCAGTGCAGCTACAGACTGTATTTAACTGTACAAAGTAAATATTAAATAGTGTGTGTGTAATGGCCCATTTTTCTGCCATTTTTTTCTCTGACAATTTGTTTAGCCCTCTGTGAGAACTAAGAACCCCTGAGTGCTAAACGAGCCTAGAAACTTTTCATAACTTTTGAATTTGTAAGAAAACAGAACAAACTTTAAAGTGTTATTCTCAAATCTGGATATCCATTAATCATGTGGCTGCAAAACCATGGTAGGTGAATAATATTTTTTTTAAAATTATGTTGTTGGGGAATTAACACCTACTAAATTCTTCTTTCCTACTAACTATAACAGATTTAACACACACTTATTATCATATTTAAAATGTACATTCATTTCTCTTTTAAATATATATACTTCTGTAAGGATTAGAAGTATATTACATTCTCTACTGCCTTTTTTGTACACCACCCCCTCTGCCATTTCTGTAAAAGGAAATTAATGTGGACCAAGTCTGTCAAAATTCATTGGCCTGAAAAAGTTAACTCTCTCAGCACCAAGTGGTTGTTTCTTTAACTCTTTATTTCCAAAAAGTTGAGCTTCAAACCATTTAAAATAATTTAGTCTGAGGAAATTCAACAGAGACACTATGGGACAGAAGTAGATAAACTAATAAATTCAGATGCTCAGGGTTAATATGACACAAGTCTGTAATACAGAAGACAGATACTCATCAAGCTATGTTAGGAATGACGAAAAAATCTATGATATGATGGGTTGTTTTATACTGAAAAAGTTGTGGTGTGTTGATCAAGGGCCTGTGCACTACTGGGAGTTGAGAGAGGAGGAAGAAATGAAAAGATGGAAAAAAAAGTAGGAGAAATATGTGTTTAAAAAAATGAAACTTCATAAAAGACCTAATCTTTATTAATTCATTGATTTCAACAGACAACAATACTTGTAAGAAGCAAACAACTATATTCATTCAACGCAATAAACTGGATCATTAGTTGCATGTGGGCTTGTGCACATGTATGGGTGTGTATGTCTTAGTCTTAGTCAAGGTTTCAACTTCACTGCAATCAGGTTTCCCCATACTAGCTCCGTTCCTGTGCCAATGCAAATCAAATGAAATGTCCCTCACTGTCACATTTGAAAAACTGGTGACTGTTAGTTCGGAACAATCCATAAATTTACGCATGCAGTAAATGCATATTTCAGTTGTTAGATGTGCCAAAGCCAACAGTCTCCACCAGAAGTGCAGTTTGTCATTAATGGAAGTAGTCAGGCACGATAAGTTGGCTATACACATGTATAATTGTTACATAAGGTATTTTACCAGCTCACACGTAAATTGGCCGCCGGCCTTAATGGATACCATGACCCAACTGCTGCACAAATGAAAGGCATTCCACAAGAAAAACACAGCTCACAGGGCTGCACCAAGCACTAAAATCAGTAGCTCAGGCAGCAAAACACTACTGTCAATATGTGGAAACTACATTAGCAAAGCCCTGTCGGAAGTAAAAATAACTTCAAAGCTCAACATTCTGCCATTGCCTAATCCTCCATTTTAGGCTTGAAGTATGTGTTTGAGAGAGAGATAGACAGACAGTTAAAGAGACGGACAAATAGACAGGCAGATGGAGAGACAGATAGATGGAAAAGACAGTATGTCAACTTACAATCAGAGCATTTGATGCACAGACACTGTGAAAACCATGGTAGAAAGCTTGAAACTGGGCATAGATGGAATTGTTGAGCACCCATTCGATGTACAACTGGACATATTCTGTGGAATATAGGTGAATAATTTGCTTTTACTCTAGTATGCACCTGACAAGATGCAGAAAATATTACTTAGTAATTACTTCTTAGTCACTTCTCTTCTACCTTGGGGTGTAGAAGTTTGCCAGAGAGATTGCCAGACTTCTTTATCAGCAGTTTTTTTGGCTCAGTTCCATTTAAGTCCTCTGTCCGTCAGGTGAGATTCTGAGTCTGCTGAGAACCCATTGACCGGGCTGCTTCAAGATACCACAGCTAAGTGATTTTGTGTATTTGTGTGGTATTGTTTGATTTGTATGTGCTTAAGACGGCTCCATAGCCACAACATTCACATATTGTTTGTATTTGTTATATTGTGAAGCTTGCTAATATACTTTTCGTTCGATTCTATATGTTTTTTCTGTCTGTCAGGGACTGTCAGATGCAATCTTCCCAGCGAACCCTGGGTCATCGTGGTGGTCTGGTTCCTGGTTCTTGGAGGCCTATTCTCTCCCAGTCTGTATACATGTCCAAACCATCTTAACTGATCTTAGCTGATCCACTGCAGTTTGTAAGGCCTGGGTTTCAAGGTCGTGAAATGCTTTCTAATTGTGAACTTTGTCCCTTCTTGTCACTTGGACCACCTTTCTCAGATACCTCATTTCTGGCTTCTGTGAGCTGTTGTCACTGCCCATGATTGGCACCAGTACGTCAGGACTGGCACATAGGTAGAGCTAGGCAGAGTGGTATACAGTCATTTTTGTCCACTTGCTAGTTTCTATTTTGCTGAAAAACCCCCTGTTTACAGCCTGGAAAAGTCTGCCAGCTGTTGCTTTTCAAGCAGCTAACTTTGACTTGATGCCTCCATTCTGGTCTATTACGACTCCAAGGTATTTTAACTGGCTGACCTCCTCCAGTGCATCTTGTCCCATCATGATCTGATGTTTGTTCTCCTCTCTTGAGATCACCATGGTTTTAGTTTCGGAGACACTGATGTTCATCAATCTCGAGCTCTTCCTTCAAGGTGTGTAAATTGAATTAAAAATGTGCCTCTGATTTAGCCATCTCATCTGCAAATGTCAGCTCTGATATACAGATTAGTCTCATATTCCAGTACCCTATTTTGTCTTTTCCTTACAGGTCTTGATGACATCATCCATCAGAATCTTGGAAGGGTTAGGTGAGAGGATATCTCCCTGTCTAACAATACGAGTGGTTTTTAACTGTTCTGTCATTTGGTCTACTGTTCTTATATAATTTCTGCAGTTTGCAGCAAAAGATGGCAGAATATGAGCTATTGCTCTTCAGATGTAAAAAAAAAAAAAAAAAACACTTACAACTCTTCAGCTAAAGACAAGTTTATGGCTAATGTGTAATAATTATTTTGAAAACTAGTTATGTTTAAGTAAAAAAGAAAAGAAAAAAAAAGGTATTTTTGACTTAACATCCTACTGACAATCTCTTTTTTGCAGTTCTTATTCTGATTCTTTTGACATTCTTTATCATATGAAAAGGTAATCCCATACGTACTTATGGTGAAATGTCCAAGCCTTCACAAAAGTAATTTCTCAAGTAAAAAGGCTTCATGATCAAAATTTAAAAAAAAATTAAAAAGCAGACACAACGAAAGCATACCTATCCTGTTGTCATTAGTAACAGGAATATTTTCACCATCTGGTTTTAAAGGCACAGTTTTTGTTCCTCCAATCACAGGTTGCACAACCTACAATATCAGTCTAAAAGTTACACCCTTTTACATCAAATTATTAAACATACAATGAAATGAGTGTGTGGTGCTGGCTTTTGTTGCTGTTGAGGTTTTAAATGTGCCGTTAAAGAAAATGATGATTAACTTCAATGTTTTTCATAAACTATAATGCTATTCTTCTTCTTCAGCTCTCCAAGCCCTTGAGGTTTACAGCCCTTCTGCTTATATATATATATATATATTCCTGTTTATATACTTATGTGTATTACTGTTTTAATTATCTTTTACAGAAGTACCCTTTCTCTTTTTAACATATTTGCAAGTATGTTTGATTGTAATTAATAAATGTACAGTTATGACATATTGATTTATGTATCCATATGTATGTGAGGGTGCCCATATTAGTTATGTTCCAGCAGTAATCCTCTCGGCGGTCCTGAATATAATATATTTTCTTTCCAGATTGTATTTTCTTCTCTTAGTATATTAGAGACACGGCCCACTAAAGCTTTTTTTAATAAGGCTATCCATGTTAATACAGATAACACAGTCCTCCTTTCGAACAGGGTAAAGGAAATTGAAAGTTTAATACTGTCTGTCCAAAAGCACAGTGAAGATAAAAATCTCTTCTTGAATTTAAAGAAAACGAAAATAATGTCCACAGATAAAATTGGCTGTCACGCAAAAAATAACAATGAATAATGAAAAAAATTGAAAATGTCACAAACTTTGAATATCTAGGATCTATAATAAACAGCAATGGAGACTGTTCAACAGAAATTAAAAGGAGGATGGCCTTGGCAATGCAAAGATTGAACAGCCTTAAAAGTCTATGGTTAAGCACCAGAAAGGAGATAAAAATTAGAATTTTGAGAGCATGCATCTTCCCTGTGGCTACATACGGATGTGAGTCGTGGACTATCTCTCAGTCCTTAAGAAAGACAATAGGGGCTTTTGAGCTGAAATGCTATAGAAAGATTCTCAGAATATCTTGGACAAACATGAGGAGAAATATTGACATCTTAAAAGATCTGAATATCAAGGAAGATTGGCTAATAAACAGCACCCTTTTTCAGAAGCTGAAATATTTTGGTCATATCAAGCGCCACAACGGATTGGAAAAATCTATAGCAGGAAGCAGGTGCAGGGGCCAACCGACACGAAGATGGGCACAGGATATAAGTGACCCCTTGAGTATGAAAGTATATAAGGCAGGAACTGGCGAGAGACCGAGTTTCTTTCAGGCAGACTGTGATGAGAGCAACGTTCTGCAAAGGACCTGCTTCCTGATGATGATGATCCATGTTAATAGAAATTCCCATTGTTGTCCAAATCCAAAGGGGGTTGGTGTGTGTTCACTATGTTTATCGAGTAGATTTATACACAAATTAAACTAGTTTCATTAATTTGCAACACATAAAAAAAAAATTTATTTTCATTTTGAAGATGAATTAGTTTGCTATTGGTAAAGATCCCTTTTCACGCCTTTAGGCGCATCGGTCATAAGGGAAGAGTGCCCATGTTTCTACAGACCATGGGCACTAGGTGGGTAATGTGGTCAGCATTACGCCGGCCGTCTTTACTTCACCAGGACTGCCATCCTGGTACCCATTTTAGGCTGGGTCAAACTGCGGCCCCCCCCCCCCCCCTAGTTTGCTATTTGAAAATATAATTATCATGAAAGTAATAATATATAGCTCACTAATTATCTTCAAAATGATAATTAATTTTTCTTAAATGTGTTGCAATTTAATGGAACTGTAGTTTAATTTGTGTCTAAATCTCCTCGATAAACATAGTGAAAACACACCGGCCCTTCAGAGTTGCACAAAAACAAAAATTTCTATTGACCTGGATGACCTTATAGAAAGCTACAGTGGGCCGTGGTTAGAGGCATTCTAGGAATAGAGAAAAGAAGAATATATTTTATAAAGATAATCTATGAAGAGCACAAATGAGTAAAATGTATTGTTATAAAAAAACAACTATAACATCTCAGTACCTCAAATGTTAGTGCAAACACACTTTCTACATCACCATCATAATCAAGCAAATCTTGGAGTCCCTTAGCAACGTCCTGAAAAACCAGACAATTAACCAAATATTACATATTTCAAAAGCATACACAAGCAAATAAACACCACTTACTTTAATACTGGCGTAGATTTAAATATTAGGCAAACAGCTCTTTTGTATTTCTATAAACTGTATTGAGTTTAGTTTTAATGACAGATCAATTTTCAGAGACTGTTTAGTGGAATTATATCAGTGAACTCAGGATTTGGAGGAGGAGGTGGGGGGAGGGTGGTACCTGGCGCCTCCTACTGTTGACTCCACTATTTAAAATATATATGATAGGCCTACATATGTACAAGACACATATTTTTATATCAAAACAGTACCATCATTGATACAGAGCTGTAAAATGTTGTAAAGAGAGTGCAAATGTTGGAGCTCTGCCTCGGCAAAAAAAATTTTTTAAATCTATGTGACATTTTCCTACACCTTGAAAATGATGTACATCACATCTTTAAGATAAATTGTTATCTATAATAACTGACAACCTCAGCTATTTCCAGTTTTAAAAAAAAAATGGCATAAAGAATGCCTAAAAAAACACAGGCTATAATTATTGTTCATACTTTTTCATAATTTATTCTTAAGATAATTTTATCTTTGCCTTCTATATGGAAAAATCTCTTGACATTATTGACTGCTAAATTAACTGCAAAGCTGTGTCCAGTCTTATGGGTTTTTTTCTACACTTCTTCCAACCATATTACCTTCAGCCTGATTTTATGAGCCGTAGTAGCAGCAGCGACATGATAGTAAGGCATTACTGCAAGGTTTACATTGTCTAAACAACTGTAATTATAATTTTCTAGTGACATATATAGTAACCCAGTGATGACACTCCCTTAAAATTAGACAATTTTATGTATATACCGCATACCTTGGATTTCATGACAGCCAGTATAATGGCAATGTGTTAACTTAATTAAATAATGTTATTTAATGTATATAACAGAGGTCTCATAATAATCTTAATTTATCTGCACACATTGTGAAATACAAACCTTTTGTATATAAATGATATTGAAAATAATCAGACAACCAAATAGTCACAAGTAACAGGCTTCTTCAGGAGAGAAAAATCATGTTATAGCACTACATAATTACTAGCCCATTGAGTGATGATCAATTGTTTATGCTAAACTTGGCAACATGTTCACTGAGGATCAAGAAAACAAAAAGCACAAAGAGAATTGAAAGAGCACAATTATGTATTTCAGCAATGTTTGACTATATAAACTTCCAGTCTTTAGCATAAAAACTACTAGTGCTAGTTTCTTGAGGCAATCAATGCCTTCTCCATTTTGTCCATTTATTTCTTATAAACTTTATTCTTCTTCTTCATATTTTCATTTCCTTTTTTACTATTTTAGGTATTGAGGGAGATATAAGGTTCTGCTTCTGGCCACCTCAACCACAGATACATCATGCTGTAGCATTTCTCTGACCTTATCTTTCCATGTTGTTCTTGGTGCATCTCATGCTCTACATCATTCTTCTCTTTAAAGATTATGCCTTTTATGACATGGCATCATAAGGCATTCTAAGTTTGCAAACCCTTTCATTTACTGTCTTTGTATGTACTATAGAACTGGTGCTGTGCAACTCTTTCTCATGATCTCATTCTTGATTTTATCTCGTCTGGTCACTCCTACAGCTCTTCTCAGACATTTCATTTCCATGGTTAAAAACTTTCTTTTCAGGTTAAACTTTTTTTAAATGAGTAAGTTTACACAAAGTGACCACAGTTTAAATCGTGGCATATCTAGTTGGCTGAGATATTCACTCACAGGCTGTACACCTTTCATATCATACAGCGACATATTGCAGACTCCCACAGTGGCCCGAGGATTGTTAAAGGGAACAACAGCCGGAGACAGCAGTTTCCGATAACACACTGGTGGAAACCGAATGTCAAGGTTAATGGAGTTGTACACAGCTAGACCCATAAGCTTTACAGCTGTTAAGGAAAAAAACCCAACTTATTCTTAAAAAAAAATATTAAAGACACATGCACTGCTCTCTGTTGTTCTGGTAAGACATTTTTAAATAAATTTTTTTTTTTTCGAATATTCTCCAGATACAACATTATCTTGACTGCCTACTGTTGCTGTTTCACCTGCTTACAACAGCACTTAAACCCCTGACTGCAGCAAATTTTTTTAGATGTAGGTGTGCTTTTCCTCTTCAACATTTACTATAAATAATTTATTGTGGGTACTGGGTTTGTATTTTTGACATTTTACTATAGCAATGGCTCTAAAGACTTCTTTTCACAATATTACAGTATGCTTTTTTCTATATGCACAGTGTGCATGTGGGACTGCCTTATTAGCAAACTGGGAAGAAAGACATTCAATTCCCAGAGATCGGGCCAGAGAATATCTTCGGTTTTCTCTGACATCAACTTTCCTGAAAACTTTTTCCAATATCAAATTTCAACTGACATTTCCTTAACTAGGAACAGATAACTCTTAACTACCCCTGACCCTACCCATTTCTGGAGTAAAAGTATAAAGCCTCAGTACACAAATAACAGAATTAGTATTTTTGCTTCTCTGTCTAATGGAAAACACCTGGTAAAACTCAGGCAATTATTGTTAGTTATTTACTGTCAATAAGCAGAGCATTTAACTACATACAATAGTGTTGGAGAAGACTAGATAGCATTGGTTAAGAAGATAACGATAGTAAAAAAAATATTAAATTAGTTGCGTATCCTTTACAGGACGTTACAGAACCAACCCCAGCACTTTCTAGCTGTTGTGGTTTTTCTAGGCAAATTTACTCCAGTAAATTACCATTGCTTTCTGGACGGTCGGCTCTCGGTACCACATTCAAAACCTGCGCAAGACAAACTGTCCGCAAAGTATAATAATGGTTATTCAGATTAGGCCAGCTCGAAAAAAAAAAAGAAAAAAAGTTGATACACAATATCAGATTTTATGCTCATCTATTAAAGGATACAACTCCAACAAGATTAAATTCTTGATAGTTATCACATGGTCTTGGACAAAACCAATGGACACCAGCTTGTTTATCATATATGAACATACCTGTAGTAGAAAATATATATATATATATGTGTCATGCAATGTCAATGATTTATTCAAAATGTTATTTGAAAGTAAAAATATACAAATGTGTTTGTTATTTCATAATCCAGAGAAAATGAAACCTAGTAATTTTACACATCAGGAGCTGTGGTACTGCAGTGGCTACCACACTTGCTTGCTGGTACTTTGGCCACCTTTGAATTCCCACTGAGGCAGATTTTTAAATTTATCAGGACTTCTAGATAGACATGGATGTTAGATAAACCTAATATTTCACTTCTTAATAACAATAAATTATTTAATTATTATTAATAATCACATTTTTGTTACTACAAAAGGACCCTTTTCCACACCTTCAGGCATAATTGGCATATAGGGCTAGACCTATATTTTTTAGACCAACCGGCACTTGGTAGGCAATGTGGTCAACATCACACTCGCTGCCTTTACTTTCCCGCACTTTCCCTGATACCCATTTAAAGCTAGGTTGATCTGGGAGCCAAAGATGGCTTTTTGAAAAAAGTCCAGCTTTTTTTGGAATCATATCCACGACCTTAGAATCAGCAGGCGAATGTCTAGCTGCTACAATATGGTGGCTCCCCATCTTGTGGCTATCCTTAGCATATTTTATCAACAGCTTTTTTGTTGCTTCCTGTCTATCAGCCTAAGCAGAACAAGAGACCTATTATTTCTCTTAGCCTGGCATGCTAGCTTAATTGGTTAAAACAGCTGTGCGATGACCAGGTGACAAACTCCTTAAGATCCGAGTTCACGCTCAGGGTAGGCAGAAAAGCCAAATATTCTCCAGATTTTTGGTATCTATCATGGAATCAAGGCTAAAGGGTTGCAATATCCATAGTACCGAGCCAAAGGGTTTACAGCTCAAGGTTTCTGGATTTAAAAAAAAAATGTACCTTATTTATCATCCACAATGATACTACAGGGCTCTGTAGATGGAAAAAAAGAGAAGAGCCAGACCTATCCGGACTGGCATATAACATGCAAACCTCAAGTCCATTTTATTGTTATGGGACTATGATAATGGTATTTTGAAATATTCTCTTCAACCAGTTTACAATTAGCATTAAGTCTGATCGAATAAGTTTTTAGCCTAAAGTATGGATATTGTGAGAACTGACCATAGTTAGGTTGAAAGATCTGTCTGACCAGCAATAAGAACCACTCCTTGGTAAGACCACCCATATCCAGGCCAGGTTCTCCAGTGAATGAAACTTTCAACTTCTTCTTTAAATCGTGCTGCTTCTTTGCAATCTGTGTATACATTTACTATAGGATCAGAACCTAAAAAACTTAACAATGTGACATTTTTGGAAACGACTGAGTGGTCAAAGTAATGCTCACTTGTGAAAATTTCTAAGCAGAAACTGCTGTGAGGTGCAATATGAAGTATGAAATGTTAACTATTTGACTCAGATGAGATGAATATTTGGTGTGAGTATAATTTTTTTATAAATCACAAGGCTGTTTCTGTAAGATAAGAAGATATTTTATCTTATATTAACAATATTCTTTCTCTGTCTTTAACTCTTTTAGTACCAGGTCATTGATACTTCAAACTGTCTATCACAATGTGAATACTTCAAAGCATGTCTCTGAGTCCCAGTAAATTAAAAGCCAAAATATGGAACAGTGTGAGTCAAGAGTTAAACACAGCAGTAGAATGAATCAAAATAATAGAAGAATGGGACAAATCAGTTAAGAAATGTAAATCATGTATAAAAATAAACATATCATGGGTTACAGGATACTGAAAAACTCCAGATAGAGCACTAGTTTTCAGCCAACTCACCTCAAGCCCTTTGTCGACTTCTCACCGAAAAAAAACACCTGCGTCCAATTAAGAAGTACAACTAGTCATTTTCTAAATAACTTAATCACAAAAGAAGGAATGAACAGTGCAGCTAGAAACCAACATCAGCACATGACACAAATAGACAATGATTAGACTTTAGATTTGTTATTAATTAGATTTTGATAAGTTTTATATTGGATGAGGTCATCAGTCTCATGCCAACTTTCCTTAGTATACTCTTATGACATTCATAGTAATTTACAGTGTTTCTATTCTTTGCATCCTCTATGGGCTCCTGTAACACATGGGCAATACTGTTATTAGAAGAGTAGTGATCAGGGGATCTGGCCAGCACTCAACTCTCAATGGATAGGCGAGACAATAAACAGACTGTTAACAGTGCCATTGAAATTGCAAATCTGTGTCTGCTGCTGAAGATGGAGATGGGTCCGGCTGGGTTGACCTGACTTGGCTTCATTCAGATTTGAACCCATGAACTTCAAATCCACAGGTGAGCATCTAGCTACTACACCACAGTGGCCAAATGGATGAGATAACATAGCAGATTCTAACACAAGCCTGGGAAAACAAATATTCTGTTTATTTCATGATAAGTGATACAGGCTATGAAAAAGAGGTGATGATGAAGACATTTAGTCAAAATTATTCATCTTAAGAGATCCCGAATGCCTGAGATGATGTATTTAGTGTTGGTAGATTGATGCAACATGTGAGATTTTTCTTCTGAGAAGCTGCAGTAAAGAGCAGATGAACATCAGGGTGATCAGGGTTCAAAAAGGAAAAGGTCAGAACTGTATACGATGTAGTGATTAGCATCCTTTCTATTGGCTGTTTTCTCGATGAAACATCAGAGTTAAGAACATAATATATGTCTCAATGTGTCTTTGTTCTCACATGGACCGGTCTTATAATAGCATGGCAAACAAACAAACAATAAAGCACAAGAATAAACTAGTGTAACAATAAAACATTCTGCTCTTAAAGAAAGGTAGAAAATAAAAATTAGGAAGGGAAATGAAGGTGTAAACTGACATGGAGAAACCATTGGCAGAAAAGCAGAAGACACAAAGTGACATGAATAGGATAGAAAGAAAGAGAACAGAAATATATGTGTGATACATGAAAAATATTTTAAAAAGAAAATTTACAAAAATATTTAAACTAAAATATCCCTTAACTAACACTGAAGATTATTTAAAATTCATGCAATATTTTTAAGGAAAAAAGGCCAAATATGGTTAACCTCATTTAATGAGTCTGAGACAAGATGAGATCTTCGCACTGTCAAATTGAGAAACAGCATTCCTATATCCGGGAGCTGACGGCGCTGTACCTTTGCAACAAGACTTTTCTATTTTTAGAAAAAATAGTTAATTATTATTGCAATTATAAAAATATTTAATTTTTTAAAATTAAATGGTTTCATAAATGATTCAACTTTAAACTTTTAACCTTAGACTGGTCTGGTAGTCTTAGTTTCAGCTTCATAGCAAACGGGTCGCCCCATCTTTGCTCCGCTCCTGTGCCAGCGAAAAACACTCAGAATGTCTATCACAGTGCCTTGTGGAAAAATTGACAGACTGCTGTCTCAGCATATCTAGCATACACTCGCATTAAAGCATATGGTAGCCATCCGAAGTGCTAACACAAACAGTCCAACATTAGAAATGCAGTTCATCATTGATGATAGCAGAACTTGTCGTCAACAGATCAGCCTTTTAACCTTAGAACAATGATTGGTGATCTGCACCTTTCCGTCTTTCCAGACGATAGTGTTATATTGCGCTATGAGGAGGCATGAGACTCACAGCCCATGGTGATGGCGAGTGTGACTAGCAAGACCCGCCCGTGTCAAGAAAAGTCTTCCACAATGATGGCATGGGATTTCAGGATCATTGTTGTCAACATTTGTGTATAATCCGTTTCTTTTTAGACGCTTAGCTCTCATCCTTTCTGCAATCATTTCTTCCTTCACTCTCATTCCATTTCTGGTATGCCCTTTCCACACAACACGGTCCATGGCATTCTGTTCACATGAGTCCACCTCAATACCTGTATCATTCATGCCCCGCTTGCACACATCTTTATATTGTAGTAGATGTCGGCCTCGACATCTTCTTCCTGTCTTTAATTCACCATAAAGGATGTCCTTAGGGACTCTGCCGTCCTCCATTCTTCAGGTGTGACCCAGCCACCTGAGCCTTCGTACACTGAGCATGGAAAAGACTGTTGTAGTACCTGCTCTTTCCAGTACCTCAGTGTTTCTGATTTTGTCCTGCCACTTAATGCCAAGTATTCTTCTTAGGCATCGCATGTGAAAGCTATTTAGCCGTCTCTCCTGGTGCAAATAGGTTGACCAAATTTCACTGCTATAAAGCAGAGTGCTGAGAACACAAGCCTGATAGACAAGGGTTTTTGTTTTAATTGTGAGCTTTCTGTTCTCTTAAACTCTCTTTGTCAATCTGCTCATTATTGTTGCTGCCTTACCTATCCTGATGTTGATTTCTTGGTCCAGTGATAGTTTACTATTCCCTGTGGAACCCAGATAGGTAAAATGGTCTACTGTCTCCAGGTCATCACCGTCAGTGTAGACTGTAGGTCTGTCATTAACACCTTGCACCATAACCTTTGTCTTTTTTTTTTCTGACTGTTAGTCCAAATTCACAGCAGGCATCAGCAAAGGCAGATATTAAACATTGCAGCTCCTCCTCTGAGTGAGTGGTTATTGCAGCATCATCTGCAAACATCAGCTCTCTGATAAGTACCTTTCTAATCCTGGTTTTGGCCTTCAGCCTGCGAGCACTGTAAAGGCTGCCGTCAGATCGAGAATGAATGAATATACCACCCTCCTGATCTCGAAAGTATGTGTCTAAAGAGGTGAAAAGTATATTCCAAAGAGGGTAGGAGTACACACCCCTGCTTCACTCCATTTTTTATTACAAACTCCTCCGATGTTACACCATCAAAGTTGACTGTACCTTTCATACCTGTGTGGAACGACTCAATAATGCTCAGTAGAGTAGGTGGACACCCAATCTTCTTCAGTGCATTAAACAGACCTTTTCGACTAACCAAATCAAATGCCTTGGTAAGATCAATAAAAGCAACATACAGTGGTTGATTTTGTTCACGGCATTTTTCCTGCAACTGTGGTAATGAAAATATCATATCAGTGGTAGATCGGTTCCCACAAAAGCCACACGGAGACTCTGGGTAAATGCTCCAGGATCTGGAGTCTTCGCAGAACAATTCTCGCAAGCACTTTTCCAACAGTACACAGAAGTGATATTTCCCTGTAATTGCAGTCACTCCGATCACCCTTGTTCTTGTACATAGTTATGATGCTTGCATCTTTGAAGTCTTGCGGAACCTCTCCCTCTTGCCATCATCATCATCATTTTTTCGTTATGACTAGTGGCACATGAGGCTTCAGAGAGGACTTTCCATGCTTTCCTGTCCTGTGCAATCTTCAGTGCAGTTTTCCATGTCAAAGATGCCGCACTCAGGTCACTTTCCATCGTTCGTCTCCATGTTGTTTTTGGGCGCCCCTGTTTTCTCTTTCCCTCTGGTGTCCATGTGAGAGCTGTTTTGGCAGGTATATCAGGATTCATTCTCATAACGTGGCCAAGCCATTTCCATCTTCTCTTGGTTATCATACTGTCTAAAGTTTCTTGGTTTGTTACTTGAAGTAGTTGAGTGTTTGAAATTGTATCTGGCCAGAAGATTTTGATAATTCTACGTAGACATGTGTGGTGGAAGGTGGACAGCTTGTGTGCATCCTTTTTGGTCATTCTCCAGCATTCCGCTCCATAAAGAAGAACTGGCAAAATGATGCTCTTGTAGAGTCAGAGTTTCGTTCTCCCTCTTGCCAGCAGAGTGTTATTAGCTGATGGATGTGTGGGGTTAGAATGTCTTTCCCACTCCTGATGATTTCAATAGGAATTCCATCTCTGCCTGGGGCTTTCCCTGAAGCCAATTTATCAATAGCATTCCCAACTTCTACAACTGTTGGAAATGTGTCCAGATAGTCAAGAGTTGGTAGCGTCTTCATGGCATTAAGAGCATCCTCTGTTAGTTTAGTATGAACTGCGTAAAGCTCCAGATAATGTTCCACCCATCTATCTAGATGCTTCTTTTTGTCATTAATAATCTCCCCAAATTCTTTAGTAGTGCACTTTTTGTAATAGTAGGACTGATAGCCTTCTTTATCCCCTCATACATGCCTCTAACATTACCACTACTGCTAGCATTTTGAATGTTTCACATAACTGGATCCAGTAGTTGTTGGCACACTGCCTAGCTACCTTTTGCAAATGATTTCTAGCTGCTCTTAATTCAATGAGAGTGTTCCTTGTTGTTCTTTCCTTGTTTCTGACGAGTATTACCTTTTTGCTGTCAATTTAAGATTGGAGTGTCTGGCTATTTGCTTCAAACCAGTCCTTACTTCTATTTTCTCTAATCCCATAGACTGATACAGCTGTTTTGTAAACAGTCTCCCTAATGTCATACCATCTTAGGCTTGCTGTATAGTTATCCTGGATATCAGTGAAAGCATCTTCAAGCTGTTGTTGAAACTCAAAACACTTTTCAGGGTCTTTAGTTTTGGAAATATTAAACCTAGGGATATATTTGTTTTTTGAAGTGAAAATTCTCTTTGGTTTCATCCGAACTCTTGCAGCAGCTAGGGAATGGTCAGTATCACAGTCAGCACTGTGGTAGCTGCGAGTTAGTGATACACAGTTCAAGTGCTGCCTCCTTGTGAGAATAAGGTCCAGCTGGTGCCAGTGGCCAGATCTTGGATGTTTCCATGACACCTTATGGCGGTCTTTAGTTTTTAAAAAGGAGTTTGTGATGCACAAGTCACTTCTAGTGAAGAATTCCAGTTGTCTCTGCCCATTTTCATTCATGTGGCCAACATTATATTTTCCAAGACAAACTAGCCATGAGTTTAAATCTGACCCTATGTGAGCATTAAAATCACCAAGTATATAGATATATAGATGCTGTCAGATTTAGGAGTTGACTTCTCTGCATTATCCAGTCCCTCTTAAAAAGCATCTTTTGCATCTTCTGTTGACGTTAGAAACACTATGCTATCAATGCCAAATGTGGACACTTACATCCTCCAATGAATGTAAAATTGTGACAACAGAGATGAAATGCCTTAGAAGAGCTGCAGGAGTTTCAAGGAAAGACAGAATACGAAATCACGAAATCAGACAAATGCTAGGAATAAAGCCAGTCATACAGGTCATCAAAGAACAACAAATGAAGTGGTTTGGACACCTAACAAGAATGCCCGGGTACTATCTGCCACAGCGAGCCACACTAAAACATTACAATGAGTATAGAGCGAGTGGAAGACCTCGGAAAAGATGGAGTGATGGCATTACCAACATCAGTCTCAATAGCACTCTTGACAGAGCTCAACAACGAACATTATATCTCCCCCCGACACTTCAATGAGGTACAAGGTGGAAGAGAAGAAGAAGAAGAAAAAGTTGACGTTAGAGTGGGTGCATATGCAGTAACAAGGGTAATAAAACCGCTTGAGGTAGACAATTGTAGAGACAATATTCTGTCACTTCCTCTAGTTGGACTTTCAACTGATCCTAACAGCAAATTGTTTACTGCAAATCCCACTCCATACATCCTGATTTCTTCCTGGCCTCTGCCTTTCCAGAAAAATGTATAATTATTTTCTCTAACAGACCCATCCTCTGGCAGACGGGTTTCCTGTAGGCCAGCAATATCTATGCCAAGTTTGTTGAGTTCGGCATCAATGATAGCCGTTTTTCTCACATCATTAATGTTTTCCAGGTCAGTGGGAAAACCCTGGACACATGGTCCTCACAATCCAAGAGCCAAGTCCAAGCTTGGGGTTATGTTTCTTTTTATTGCCTGGTGCACAGGTTTTACAGCCTGCAGTTCAGATTTTGTCCTAGCTCCAAGCACCCATTGAAGCATACAAGCTGTGGCGGATCAACACCTTAATGGCTGGGGGCTGCCCAGCTTGATGCGGGCGGTACTTGATCAGTGACATTTAAAGATGTCTCCCACCGTTAGAGGCAACCTGTGGCGCCCTCGTCTACGCCAACTGACAAGGACTTAAAATTATGGACACTGAACAAATTGGTTTTTGCAGAGCATTCATCCCATTATCACAACTATATAATCAAAAGCTCCACTGTCAAACTTAAATATGTTTTACATTCTTACCCTAGCCATTATAATCATCTGCTGCTCAGAATCTTTTTGAAGAATTGTTCTTTTTGCTGTTAGGCTCAGTATAAATGGGTACTGACAAAATGAGAACCTGGCAATGAAAAAAGAAACAATGTATGTAGAGTTTAGGCATGCAAACATTAAATAAAGATGAAAGTAGGAATAGCCTGGATATAATGAATAAGAATCTACATAACTAAAGCATAAAACTACTAAAAACATGAAAAAACAGGGCACAAGCTAAAATTATAATCTAAGCTGCCTGGAAACAATCATTTGCTTGTTAAAGTAATCAGCAAAATAAAGGAAACAGTATGCTTGTATGGTAAATTGTAGAGTTTTATCTGCACAAATAAAATAAAATAATTTCAGCATCTGTTAAAAACTAAGTAAATATTATTCTTAAAATTATGTTACTTCTACTTACCCAGTCTTTGAGTTGGGATTTTGCCAAGCATAGTATTCTGCCATCAAATCTAGATGATCTAGAGTAATGTTGTAAAACTCTGTATATTGCACCAAAGGAGGTGTATGCAGACTGTTTGCTGCATCTGTTTATGACGTACAGAAGGAAGAGAGTAACGCTCATATAAACAAAAGTAGGTTTCTCAATGCTTCACAATTACACATACTTACATTTAAAGTAAATGGTCACAGAATGAATTTGATACAGTGGTACCTCAGAATTTGAATACCTCAACACTCAAACAACTGGAGAAAACACCAGAAAAAAATTTATATCTGACTGTGTGAGTAGGGATCCTTACCCCTTGAGCAGATGTTTTTTCAGAAGTGGGACAACAAATCTTTAAACTTTAAACGAATAGGTTGATATTTTATATAGTTTCAATAGAGGTGAGAGTGCAACTTTGGGATAATCAATACCTTCACCCATTTGAAACAGGCACCCCACATTTTGAGACATGTTTAAAGGACAGAAACTTAAAACTGTCAAGGTTAATGAAGTGTCTATGATACTTATGATCTCCATTTGTGGTTATTGTTATTAAATAAACAATAAATTTGTGTGTCCATAATAAAGTCTTGCTGAAGTACACTCACTGCTGTCTTTGGGAACACTCACTGCTGTCTTTGGGAACACTCACTGCTGTCTTTGGGAACACTCACTGCTGTCTTTGGGAACACTCACTGCTGTCTTTGGGAACACTCACTGCTGTCTTTGGGAACACTCACTGCTGTCTTTGGGAACACTCACTGCTGTCTTTGGGAACACTCACTGCTGTCTTTGGGAACACTCACTGCTGTCTTTGGGAACACTCACTGCTGTCTTTGGGAACACTCACTGCTGTCTTTGGGAACACTCACTGCTGTCTTTGGGAACAATCACTGCTGTCTTTGGGAACACTCACTGCTGTCTTTGGGAACACTCACTGCTGTCTTTGGGAACACTCACTGCTGTCTTTGGGAACACTCACTGCTGTCTTTGGGAACACTCACTGCTGTCTTTGGGAACACTCACTGCTGTCTTTGGGAACACTCACTGCTGTCTTTGGGAACACTACAGGACACAATTATTGAACCAATGTCAGAATGCCACAGAAATGCATTTTTGTCAAATAGACTAACTGCAGTGGAAATCAAAGTCCAGTATAAACATGTCGAATATCATGAAATTATGAAATGCATAAGCTATAGGACCACACTTTTATATTGCTATTATACCCAATTTTATTAACAAAAACTTGGCAGTCTAATTATACTACCTTATGTACAGTTTTTGTTTAAGTAACCAGTTTAAATAGCCTCCATTAAAGAATAAGGCAATAAATTATTCATACAAAATGTATTAAAATAACATTTATCATTCACACATCAATCTTATTCTCCACTCTGTTAGTACCGGAACATAGTTGACTGACTGGACTTTCTACCCCACCAGGACATCACACAAGTTATAAACACCCGGTGACACAAAGTGCCACCATGCAGATGGGGATCACCCATGGAGAGGTCCTAGAAACCCCTTTTAGCCGCTAGGCCAAATCTATGGCTAGGCCATATCTATGCCCCGGCTATATTCAGGGCCCCCGGCAGAAGCCAGGGTAGGGCTTCATATAACAAAAAAATTGCATCCCACACGGGGATGGCTGATGCAGAACATAGTTTCTCTCTATCCAACCCACTCCACCACATGTAGTATTGAAACATGTTGTCATTAAAAATGTAACTGATGTTTAATATCCAGCTCTCTGTTTATTACTGAAACCTTCATTTACCAACAACTGACTACAGTTCCCTAATAAAAACACTTTGATGTTTACATCTATATATCCACTGTTACAAGCAGCCATATTCTCATTTTCAAAACCAACTCTTGTGAATTTTACTGATTTACTAAATGTTATTTCATAACTAAATTATATTTTTTAAACTAACTTGGGGGGAGGGGGGTATTTTTCTATTTTTGCCTACCTACAGTACTTAAATCCAAACAACGTGTAATCATAATTAAATTAAATTAAACACTCACTAAACAAAGCCAAGACTTTCGTTGCACTGGGAATCCACCAAGAACATTTTGACAAAGGAGGCAAGTCTTCAGATTTTGGTGGGAACAAACGAACTGAGATGAAGTTATTGATTCTCTCAACTGAACTTCGAAATCTATCACTTTTTAATCTAAACAACAGAGATAGAAAAAAACTGATTTTAATCAAATTTACAACAATTAACAGTGCACACATCTAATACAACAAAGTGGTAATTTACAAACTTCGTTGTCCTCTTTATTTTTTAAATAATAAATGTTAATTTTGTAAGAGTTTGTAATCAGGGGAGAATATGTATAGTTACTTAAAGGAACATACATACTTACAATTTTGACATTCTGTGTGAAATTACTTAAATTACACACAAGAATACCTCAGATTTCCACTAATCAGTTGACCTTTTTATTTTGCATCTGGGTCATGATAATTTTTAGGCAAAGGACATTTCCCGTTAGTATAGTATGTGACCTCCTTTTGTGTGAATCAGTGACTGGCATCTCCTGGGCATGGATGCGATCAGATGTCTGATGTGGGCCTGTTTGATGGCTGCCCACTCTTCCTGGCGCACCTGGAACAGACATGACCATTGGCTGGAGCAATGTCTCGGCGACATACACATCTTTGCAGCTCATCCTACAAGTGCTCAATTGAACTCATGTCTGCAGACAGGGATGGCCAGGGTAGGGTTTGAATGTTACGGGCAGCTAGGAACTGCATGGTCAGCTGTGCAGAATGGGGTCTGGCATTGTCCTATTGAAAAAGATATCTGTTGGTATCCTATATGGAATGACATGTGGTCGAAGAATTTCACTGACGCATCGCTGTGTATTCAAGATTCCTTCAATGTGCATCAGTTGACTCCTTCCATTGTAACTGATTACTCCCTACACCATTACACCTCTACCACCGTACAGCAGAGCCTAATCAAACAGACAAGGAAGTTACCAGATCAAACACCATGATTATGACATTGACACTGTAGGTTGAACAGGTAAATCTACAAAGAAAATGAGTGTTTTACTTTCAAAGATGTAACATATTTTGTTTTACATGTTAAAATATCTATCTGGATGCTTTTACCGAGCTCAGGCCAGACATAAAAGATACAATAATATAAAGTACTGCATTATTTATAAGAACAACATTTTATAACACATGGGGTATTATTTGGAACAAAAAGAGTTTACAGTGCAAAATGAGTTTCTTAATATTTCTGTTAGCAGACATTTACCTCTTTAGCCAGTGCACCAGATAGTGATGTTCATGATCAGACAGTGCAGCTACCTGCCTTAGAAGGTGGGCAAATATAACATATGATGATCGGCTGCCAAACTGTGGATTCTGGATACCAGAGACAAAATCAAGAAAATAGAATATAGAATTCAGTTTTATTTGTTTTAAGTTAACTACAAACAGAAAATTATGCCAGAAGTCAGGGTATTCATCGCAAAGCAGGTTCTTTGTAAAATGTGTGCAGAATCTTTGGAAATTCTTCAGGATAATTTTCCATTTCCTCTCCCTTATGTCTTTTCACATATAAAGAGTTTTCAATTCCTGTATAAATTGACCACACTGCTCAACTGCGTCCCTGCCTTCCAAAAATGGTATCTGTTTTTTTCTAAGGCATTGTGATGTTAAAATGATGAACGCTTTTCAGTTTTTAAGGTATTTAGCTGTTTATCAGCTAGTTCTCTTCAATGTTCAGATCTTTTAGAATGCCAGTACTTTTTTTTCTTAGCCTAAAACACTATCACAGAAGGAAGATTCTGGAGCTATTGCCGTAACTACAAGTAGTCTCACTATGAAGGTCATGGCTTTGACTAAAGCAGTAACATGGCTGGAGACCCAGACTTTCACTGGAGCATGCTTTCTCAGTGAATTGATGAGTATCCTCAGGAAGATAGAGAAAGGCTGGGTCCGAAGGCAGTGGTTTGTGGCTCTTCAGCGCTCATGGCAAACAAGGATTAGTTTCATTTTCGTGCCAGGACATGTGGAGTACAAGGAAATGTGCAAGCTGATAGGCTTGCAGATAAGGCTACTGAAAAGGCCGGACGAACCATTTACCAGGCTGATATACTGAATGCTCTATGAGATTTAAAATGTTTGCATGAACCAACTGAGAACGGTGAATCTGCAACCATGGTCAGACTGCAAAAACAGCAGATTCAGCAGGGTGTTGCCAAACAAGAACACTACGCAGATAGCCAAAGAAGGAGAAAAAGCCAATATAGAAATAGTGTCATCAGCTGCTACACGCTGCAGGATTTACTGAGGAGGGGATCCAAGCACTTATGGACTCAGTGGTTTGCCGTGCAATGAGGATAATCTGTCGACTGACTAACTAACTAACTAACTATGACAGTGGTTCTCATTTAAATAATACTTGCAGATACCTCCTATTTTTTAAGACCCGCCACTGATTCCATTCTTTTTAAGTCACATTTTAAATTTAAAAAAATTAAAATAAAAACATTATATATAATAAATAAATCTATATTAGAACTGCACAAAAAAGTTACCTATCCTCTTTTAGTGTGTCTGTTTGTAAATTATATCATGGACCCTTTAAATTTAGTCCACAGACCATCAACTGGCAAACACCGCCTTACGATATTAATTGTGGCCAGTATGTTACAGTTTCTTAAGCATTTAACTTTTATCAGCTAGTTCTCTTCAATGTTCAGATCTTACAGACAGAATGCCAGTATCTTTTTTTCTTTTCAGTTAGTCGTATTCTAAAAATGTTTCTGTAACATTTAAATTTAAAAGCCCTGATTTTCTTCTTCTATGACTACATATCTGTCCATGACACACATCCATATGCTGCCATCGGAAGATGTTCTTCAAAATTTTACTTTAATTTGTTCCTGATGTTGCGCCAAATGCTTTTAATACCGTTTCTATTTCTTTTTCTTCTTCTTCTGCTGCCGCTGCTTCTTTTTCTGCTGCTGCTGCTTCTTCTTCTTCTTTTTCTTCTGCTGCTGCTTTTTCTTCTTCTTCTTCTGCTTTTGATTTTAAAATGCCAGATGGCATGCTGTACTGTAGTTTACAGCTAGGCTGAAATATCTATCCAACGTGTCCATTTTCAGCAGTCATCGGTTATTTTTTACAGCAAGTATGTTAGGGAGGCAGTGGGTTTATTCTCTGTTTGTTTTTTTTAACCCCAAAAATGGGGTTCTGAAACCTATATGGGATAAGACTACATCTGCTTTCTGTCATTTTTGTGTATGTTTTTAAAAGCATTCCTCGCTGCTGTTGATAACAGAGCCAAGATATTCCATGTCTGTGACATTTTCATGTCTACACATTATTAATCAAAATACCTAACATAACAGCTTAAAAAAGAAACATAAAGATCTTATGGTGAAGTCTTCCTCTAGATAGGTTAACACTTTAAAAGAACCATGTCAGAGATCTGCTGGTGACTCGTTCTCCTCTCCACCTCCACTTACCATCTTTCGCAGATACTGGTGCTAAATCTTAATCCTTATATTTTTCTTATTCAGTCCTGATCAAATAAGCCAGTCTCCCCTATTGGGCCCTATTTTTTAGGGAACAAAAGAACAGATGTACCGCCTCTAAACAAGCATCTCCTAACAGGTGACTAATTGAGGATTTTCTTAAATCAAAAGAGCTGGGTCAAAAGATGCAGATATCACAACAAAAAGTGCCAACCACCCTTTTAGGGGTTATTGCAGAAGATGAAACCATCTACATAAACATAAATCCCACCCTATACCATTAGTGGATGAAAGGATGTTTCCTCCCTTGTGTGGGATCAACAACTGACTGGGCAAAAATTGTCTGCTACAATGACCACAGTGTAAGGTGCAAGATCTTGTTTAAAATATCTCCCTGAGAACAAAAAAATAGGTATATTACCTGAACAAGTATAATGAAAGCTCGAAGATCATCTTTGCTGTGAGGCCTGTAATGAACAAGTAAAAATAAAGTAGATTGAAAGTAAAGGACATTTTTCCACGTCTTTTGGTGTACTGCGCATATAGGGTTATACTTATATTTTATAGACCAAACAGCACTTGGTGGGTGATGTGGTCAACATCCGGCCGGCCGCCTCTACTTGCCAGAACTGCACCTGGTACCCATTTAAGTCTGACTACATCGGGACCCAAACCCACGATCTTCAGATCCGCAAGTGAAAGTAAGTTAATGTTAATGGATAGATTTTTACACCATAATCATGGATGAATGAACGAACAAACTTTTTTTTTCTCTTTGGAGTAAAAATGTGGGCTTGCAAGCCTGTCTTACATTCAGCTCTCCCACTCATCTTTCGTACTGCAAGTAGGTAAGTAAAGGATGTTTTTCACACCTAGAGGGGTATTGGGCAATTATGCTAGTCCTATATATTCTTACAGACCCCTCACCACTTGATGTGTGATGTCAGTATCATACAAGCCACATTTACTGCCCATAAAATTTCCCAGCACCTATTTTGCACTGGGCTAACTTGAAAAAGTCTAGCTGATTTTTCAAAAATCCCTTACCAAATGTCAATGATAACAATTGTTCCAACTTCTATATCTTTGCAGCTCTCTTACTATGGAGGTATATTAAGCTGAAAGCATAAGCAAACTACTTAAAAATAATAAAAAATGTAAACCCATAATTATATTATTAGAAATTGTGCTAGCATAGTGAACTGTTTGCCTCTTTCCATTTTTCATCATGAGAAGGATGTTGGACTTTAATGATATTGTTAAGAAACCTATATTTTATTCAGTCATAATCCAAGCACCAATGAGGTTATGAGATTTATTCTCTGCTGTAAAAAATATACCTCATACCACACATCATGAACTGTGTCCTGAGCTAGAGGCACTGGCTATCAGACACAAAGGTGTACATGAAGGTATCAGCAGTCGCTAACCACCAACTGCACAACACTTCTGAAGCTAGTCTAAAAAGTAACTACTCATGGATGGCTTAGGCTAAAAATTTAATCCAGCAGGGTATGACCTTAGCTCAGACATGAAAAAGAATGGGTGGATATACCAGCAGACATTTATAACCACTTTAAGGTTGTCATCACACTGGGTACTGAAGGAACCAGATTCCAGGAGCTATAAAAGCTGAGGAAAAAGGCATTGAAACTAGTAGACCAGTTTTATGTCCAGAAGACACCATCACCACCACAGACAGGTCAGTGAAATGTGGGTCAAGGTCAGCACAGGCATATGCAGTACAAAACATGGGAAACAGAATAAAAGAGGATAGTGGCACTAACCAGGAAACTATGTTAAGCCTAACCATGAAAAAAACTGATACCTCTAGAGCAGTTGCATGGACAACAGAACAAGCAGCCATATATGCAGCGATCATATCAAACTCCATGAACATGTTTCAGAAAATGGTGACACGCAGCCTCCACTTTGAATGGGTATGCAGCACTCTAAAACTGCACTCAACCTCTCTAATTACCTACACATTTTGAGAATGCCAGAGTAAAAGTTAATGAATGAGTGGACCAGCTAGGAAGTAATGCACCACTGCATTATGCAGGAGGAAGCATGGACAGAGCTGATATCATCAACAATGTACTGACTTTCTTTTGCTTTATAGACAATACATCATTAATCTCTTTTGCTGAATAGTGATTGCCTCATTAATTTCTTTTGCTGCACAGAAAGTACTTTATTTGTCTCTTATAAACCTGTTTATAAATTAATTTTTCTACAAACGGTTAATGGTACCATCAGAACTGGAACTCTTTGCTTGCTGCTGAAGATGGGGACTGTCACTTATGGGACTGTCCCGAGTGCTGTGATGTCGATTCTTAATTCGACAATCAATCAACAACAAATTTATTTTTCTTATAACAAATATAACCAGTGTCTAAATTATGTGCAAAAAAAATTTTTGAATTTGAAAATAAACTGGCAGTACTGCTAAATCTTTTCACAGGATACTTTTCACAATGTTTTAGGCCCTAGTGAAAGCATACAGATTGTCATAACAACCTACCGTGCTTTGCCATCATGGCTCCTATTGTCAAGTGGCAGCATGTAAGACAAATTAAATTAGTGAAGAAAAGAACTACAAAGTAAACAATTCACATCAAAAACTGAACTGCCTCAAATTACATACTAGAACAGTAATCTTTTAGTCTTCATTATTAATTGTTTAGCATGTAAAGTGTTATTTCCTAAAACAGAAAAACAGTTTCAATACATTTCCTAAAACAGAAAAACAGTTTCAATACATTTCCTAAAACAGAAAAAAAAGTTTCAATACATTTCCTGAAACAGAAAAACAGTTTCAATACATTTCCTAAAACAGAAAAACAGTTTCAATAAGTATAGGCTAGATCCAAAATTCATTACAGAACAAATATATAAGTATATTGCGTCCACCTCTATCCTTATGACCTTCTAGCTCATTGTACCCTGTAGGGCGGTGAGTCAGCAGAGAATACCATGATTCACATATGTCCTCAGAGAAACACAGGAAAAATGAACAGAACTTGCAGTCTTCCAGGACAGGTTCCAAGACAACACAACCAGTCTGCCTTTCTCCAGTCCCTATGCCATATGAAATGTTCACAAGTCTTTCTCTACCAATATTAAACCAAACAGATTTACTATTTTTCAAATCTGGTTTATTGCAAACATTCAAGCTCGAGCATCTCACATGAGCTGGTACACGTTGACTTGCTTCACACACACGACTGTTATCCCATCATTCCTTTGCTGCTCTATTCATTGAAGTCTAGTTCTCAGCACACTCTATCATCACTGCCACTTGGGGCCACACTCACAAGAGATGCCTCAGTCTCTGTTAGGCCAAGTCATAAGAGATGCCTCAATCTCTTTTACTCAGATATTCATTCTCTCTCTTTCCCCCTCCCTCCCTCCCACCCACACACTCTCTCTCTCCCCTCCCTCCCTCCCACCCACACACTCTCTCTCTCCCCTCCCTCCCTCCCACCCCCCCCACCCACCAAGCCAGCCAGCCACACCCCCACCCACCCGCCCGCCCGCACGCATGCACACACACACACACTCTCTCTCTCTCTCACATAAGTTGTTTACTTATATTATACACCCATCCTCTTGCTTCTCATGTAACTATTCATCATCATCATGTAGCAGAACGTCGCTCTCATCACAGTCTAACCAAAAGAAACACTCAGTCTCTCGCCAGCTCTCCCGCCTCATGTACTTTCATACTCAAGGTGTCACTGATATCCTGTGCCCATCTTCGCATCAGTCGGCCCCTGCCCCTCCTTCCTGGTATCATGCACTCTGCTATAACTTTTTCCAATCCGTCGTGGCACTTGATATGACCAAAATATTTCAGCTTCTGAGACAGAATGTTGTTTATTAGCTAATCTTCCTTGATCTTTCAAGATGTCAGCATATATCCTCTGCTTTGTCCAAGATATTCTAAGAATCTTTCTATAGCATTTCAGCTCAAAAGCCCCTATTCTCTTTCTTAAGGACTGGGAGATAGTCCACGATTTACATCCGTATGTTGCTACAGGAAAGATGCATGCTCTCAAAATTCCTATTTTGATCTCCTTGCTGGTGCTTAACCAAAGACTTTTAAGGCTTTGCATTGCTACTGCCATCCTCCTTTTAATTTATGTCAGTCTCCATTGCTATTTATTATAGAGCCTAGATATTCAAAGTTTGTGGAATTTCAATTTCTTAATCATTTATTGTTATTTTTGGGTGGCAGTCAGTTTTATCTGTGGACATTTTTTTTTTCATTTTCTTAAAATTCAAAAACAGATTTTGATCTTCACTGTGCTTTTGGACCGACAGTATTAAATTTTCTATTTCCTTTACGCTGTTCGAAAAAAGCACTGTGTCATCTGCGTAACGAAGTTCCAGAATAGGATTGCCTCCAGTTTTGAGCGGATCATGACTGTCACAAGTCTGATCATTTTTGAAATTTCTTCTTATATTTTCTGTGTACATATTGAATAGGTATGGTGAGAAAATGCACCCCGGCCTCACTCCCTTTTGCACCTCGAACCAGTGTGATGTTTAACCAGCTGTGATATAACTATTAGTCCCTAGAAAACCTGATTTCCACATAGAGTACTTTTGGCTTCCTAATTTTATGTCAGGTTTTCTCGTCTCACCCAATGGCAATTCAGGATCTGCTATTATTTATATACATTAGATTTCTTCTGACCTTTAGCCATAATCCCTAGTTACCTCATTACAATAGGAATTTACAAAAGTATTCACAAATGCATGGTGATTTGCCTCACAAGCTACTATAAACTAACTTTCCTGAATTGATTTTATATTGTTCTGTTTATTACTTTACAATTCCTGTAGTTTCTAATTACAATAGTGAATCTTGTGATGACCAGCAGCAGCAGGTATCAGTTCATTGGCTAATATCTTTCTGAATCATTCAAAAGGCTGTCAAGAAGCTTTTCTTGATGTTATACTCTTTCCTTTCCATAAATCTTTCTAGTTGCAACAGCATGCTCCAGTTTTTGCCTCATAATGAGGCAAAGATATGAACGCATCTTTCAGATTTTTAAAAAGCTGTCTTCACATTAGTCTCTTTAAAAAACAACAGAATACACGTTTTGATTGTGCCTGAAATTCGAGCACTTGTATAGATAAACAACACTAAATCTTTTCAAAATTTGAAAATTGTTCATGTTTCATTAAGTAGGTACAACTATCCATTTAACTGCCTGACTCACTTTGATACTTTCATTTTTAATTATTACTTTTTACAGCCATGTAGCGTAGTAGTTAGATGATAAGCTGCCACCTCAAAGGTGTATGGTTCAAATCTGCACCGAATCAGAGTTTGGTGCTTTATCAATATCCTACCCCAAACAGGGGAAATCCACAGGTCACGGGACAGTCTAATATTTCGAACGAAGGAACGAACGAATGAAAAAACTTTATTATCAGAGGGTTACATATTGGGCACGCAGGTCCGTCTGACATTCGGCCGTAGATAGGCTGCATGCAGTTGTGGGACCTAGGCTGCATGCAGTCGTGGGAAGTAGGCTGCACTAGCTCGTGGGATGTAGGTGGGTTAGGGTTAGGGCTAGTTCTATATGTTTTGGGGTCATTAAAAGCATCAGAAAGCCGGGAAATCAGTCTCAACACTCTATAAAATGTTGGACTGTCCTGTGACGTCATCTAGGGTAGGATATTAATAAAGCACCCAGAGTTTTTCCAAATTGATCTTGGCTTCCAGATCAGTCCAGCCTAAAATGGCTACTAGATAATATATTGTGACATAAAGGTGGCCAGTCTGATGCTGACCACATCGACCACTGCTTGCCAGTTAGTTTATAACAACATAAGTCTAGCACTATAGGCCCCCTGTGACAAAGGCATGAAAGAGAGCTTTACTTGTTTAACTTACCTTTTATCCTTCAGTAGGGAATTTATTATAGCTTTCAGAACTTCTTTCTGGAGACCTTGTGGCTGATTTGAATAAAAGCAAATACAAAAATAACAATCAGGACAGACTTTCATAAAATAATCTATCATTTTAGTTTAACTTAATGCATATTGGAAAGGTGTTCTAAGATTGAGAACCTTTTCCTGCCAAAACAGTGGTCCAGATCCAACCTCTTTTTGTTTTTTATTGCTGTATTTATCTTCTGATCACCATTATTTTATTGCCGAGCACCCTTTGCTTAGTTAGTTGTGTATCCTATATATAATACTGCAGAATCGACCACTTCATTCTTTGGCTGTTGTGGTTTTTCTTAGCAAAATTGTATGTTCAGTAGTTTGCCGTTGCTTCCTGTGCCAATGTCAAAACTAATGCATGACAAATCGTCCGCAGCTGAGATCAAACAAAGCACCCCAGCATTGCGATAAGAAGTGCGATAAGAACCGCCTAAGACACAGATGCCTACATTGGGCGCCTGCTTGCTTAGCATAAGTTCATTCAAATACTGAACCAATTAGAATCGCCTTTAATTAAGCCTGAGCAGCCCTAGGCTAAATGGTTAAGAAAGCTGGACTCACATGCTGGAGACCCAGGTTCAAATGCTCAGTAAAATTATGTGTTTTTCTATGGAAGACAAAAATAAAATCCTACCCTGCACAGTCTGTGGTAACTGCACTAGCCATGTGGCCCTAAAATTTTCAGGTTCAAAGACTCCTCTGCTACACCACAAGTAAAGTTCACTTTTTATGCCTTCAGGCACATCAGGCCTAAGGAAAGACCACTTATATTTTTTTTTACAGACTAATCGGTACTAGGCGGGTAATGTGGTCAGCATCATGCCGGGCATCTTTACTTCCCCAGGACATACATCCTGGTACCCATTTTAGGCTGGGTTGACCTGTGACATCCCATACCATGATAAAAATCCAGGCAGCCAGCAGTAGGTTTTGATCGCGGTATGTTAGAATTATGAGTCACACTCGCAAAGCCTAAGCCACCGGGGCTGCTCCTGCTTCACAACATAAGTGATAATACAGACAGTAATAAGAGTTAGTGACAGTTCATTAAGTCTGCTAGAATACTCATTTCTTCTTCTTCTTCTTAGCATTCACTGGCTGTAAACTCTGGTGGAAAATTCTGGTTGTTTATCCATTTGTGGACTGTGATCGCGTTTCAGAACTTGAATTTTTGTGGCTTAATTGAATTCAGAATGCTGGTTCCTCACCTCTTAAGCAGATGCATGCTAACTTCAAAGGAAATAAACCAACAGCGAGATAACTTTAACTACCTTGAAAAGCTAAACAACTGACCCTGTTCCACATCACAACAGGACAGAATAAAGTTAGTAGTAACATTTATGGTCTCAATTTTGCTCCATTACCTCTGTGCACTTGTGGACATACAGAACAGACAGTTGAACATGACTTTAAACAATGCTGTTTGTTTTGTCAGTGATGCACTGAACTCTGGCCTATATAAACAAACATCCATATGCAGCTATTTGATGAACTCTCAATGAAAGCAACATTAGTAAAACAAAAACTAGACTTTTATAAGTAGACTTTGCTAAAACGGCAGTGAACATACACACAAAAAAAAAAAAACCTTTCAAAAACAAGAGGAAAAATACATTGAAAATCTATAATTTCTTGTGAAAACACAAGATTTACAAATGGGTTAACAAACATATTTCATAACCTGCTGTAGAAACTGTGCTATAGCATTTTAAAAATGTATTAAACTACAGTAAAACATCCTTAACATGAATTACAAGTAGCCAAAAATCAAGTTCATGTAAAAACTGTGTGTCCTAACTGGACCAAAATAAAAATACATTCATACTGGGATACAAATTTTGTTCATTTAACTTAAAGCAGTTTGTATAAATGAGGTTTTACTGTAAAACTAACAAATCTGTTCGTTTTGCGTTATAAAAACTAAAAACCTGCAAACAAATACTTTGAAAGAACAAATAAAAATGCTAACAATGGTGACTGTGAACATAACAATTTTATGTAAATATGTGTTAAATGTTTTTTTCTCAGTAAGAAGATCAACGAGTTCATTCATATTTTAAATATGAAAACTAGGGAAAACGTGTTTGAAATTTACAGCATTCATCTCCTGCATGTCAAGTAGTTCACGTTTCACAGCTTGTACCCTGTTACTGCATGCAGAAAAAATATTTCATGGATCAATGCATTAGGCAAGACTGTGGAACCGCTCAAAAGTTGATCAAGGATAAATCAATAGTGAAAGATCAATTACTTTCTATTGACTGATGTTTAAGTAGAAACAGAACATAGTTTGGTGACAACTTGTATGAAGAAGTTAACTCTAAGGATAATTCTCCTGCCCATAGCAGACTGGGTAAATGGTGTTTAACCTTTATTTACTGATGGGGGTCTTTATCTTGCCATGTCAAACCGTGCACAATCTTGTTTCTCTGTCTGCCTCTGCCTCTTTTTCTCTTCAAATTTCCTATGTTATGATGTACTCAAATTTTCTTGTTCTTATGACAGACCAAAGAATATAGATTTTCTACTTCTGATGTTGGCAATCAATTCACTCTGTGATTCAGTTTCATTTAATGCATCTTCATTATTTTTTTTAAATCTGTCCATGAAATTCTCATAATTTGTCTAAAAACACATCTATGCTACTTCCAAATAACCCTCACTAATCATCTAACTGTCGTACCTCTGTACATCAGCATAGAATTTATATAGCTAATGAGAATTCTTGTTCTCATCTCAGCTGACAATGAAAGATTGTTTAGAATATTCTTTATTTTGTAAAATGCTGCCTTTGCCTGTGCTATTCTACATTAAACTTCTTCCATCTGCTGTTATTAGGTTATCTAAGTACTAAAATGTATTAACTAGCTTGAGGATTGTCCCATTAACTGTGATGCTGCATTTTGAGAAGCGTAAAGTAAATGGCTCTTTTTTCTCCAACACCTCAAAGTGTAGGCTCTCTTTTCCCCAACACCTTAAAGTGTAGGCTCTCTTTTCCCCAACACCTTAAAGTGTAGGCTCTTTTTTCTCCAACACCTTAAAGTGTAGGCTCTCTTTTCCCCAACACCTTAAAGTGTAGGCTCTCTTTTCCCCAACACCTTAAAGTGTAGGCTCTCTTTTCCCCAACACCTTAAAGTGTAGGCTCTCTTTTCCCCAACACCTTAAAGTGTAGGCTCTCTTTTCTCCAACACCTTAAAGTGTAGGCTCTCTTTTCCCCAACACCTTAAAGTGTAGGCTCTCTTTTCCCCAACACCTTAAAGTGTAGGCTCTCTTTTCCCCAACACCTTAAAGTGTAGGCTCTCTTTTCTCCAACACCTTAAAGTGTAGGCTCTCTTTTCCCCAACACCTTAAAGTGTAGGCTCTCTTTTCCCCAACATCTTAAAGTGTAGGCTCTCTTTTCCCCAACACCTTAAAGTGTAGGCTCTCTTTTCCCCAACACCTTAAAGTGTAGGCTCTCTTTTCCCCAACACCTTAAAGTGTAGGCTCTCTTTTCCCCAACATCTCAAAGTGTAGGCTCTCTTTTCCCAACATCTTAAAGTGTAGGCTCTCTTTTCTCCAACATCTTAAAGTGTAGGCTCTCTTTTCCCCAACATCTTAAAGTGTAGGCTCTCTTTTCCCCAACACCTTAAAGTGTAGGCTCTCTTTTCTCCAACACCTTAAAGTGTAGGCTTTCTTTTCCCTAACATCTTAAAGTGAAGGCTCTCTTTTCCCCAACACCTTAAAGTGTAGGCTTTCTTTTCTCCAACATCTTAAAGTGTAGGCTCTCTTTTCCCCAACATCTTAAAGTGTAGGCTCTCTTTTCCCCAACATCTTAAAGTGTAGGCTTTCTTTTCCCCAACACCTTAAAGTGAAGGCTCTCTTTTCCCCAACACCTTAAAGTGTAGGCTTTCTTTTCTCCAACATCTTAAAGTGTAGGCTCTCTTTTCCCCAACATCTTAAAGTGTAGGCTCTCTTTTCCCCAACATCTTAAAGTGTAGGCTTTCTTTTCCCCAACATCTTAAAGTGTATTGGGTATTAGTTTATAGATCAATATTTTTTACAAATCAATAATCTCTTCATCATTATCATGCTAGCTGCCTTTAGATCTTAAAACATTTCCTCATTGCAACTGTTAAACTTGGTAGACACTGAAGCCCAGATCCTTTAAAAAGAAAAGAAAAACAAATTTTTTCTTGAAAGGGACTCAAATACATGACCACAGGGCTGTCGGGCGAGTTTGATTGACACTGCAATGTTGCTACTTACAGAAGAAAAAAAACAGCAGTATTTATGTTTTAATAAGCTTATCTTTCTCTTTAGTTTTGTTTAACTTATGCATGTATTCAACCTTTTATTTCATTTTTTTTTTTAATGAATGCTAAGCAAACAAGTTTTAAGCTTTATTCCATGTTTCATTGTGAACGTATTCCTTCTCATAAAATCCTGCAAGTGTATTTCTAGAAAGAAAAGAATAAAACACCTTTTGAAAGCACATTACAGTTTGGCTTGTTTTAAACCTCACTGTGTTTGGTGTTTTACAAGGCAAACAATCATGAAAAGATCCATAGCTTCTTTTGTCCAATAAATCAATAAGAATCAATCAACAAAGAACAGCTGTATTGATTACTACAACATAAAAGCTGGTTCCTGCAGCATAAGGCGCTGGTTGTAATGTGAAGGATAGGATATCAATGTTTAAATATAACTTTAGAAAAGGAAAGAAAGAGACAAACAAGAAATAAAAAAGCAGAGAGAAACATATATACAGACAGAAGGTGATAGACAAATAATTTTGAATAATATATAGCTATTTTTTCTACCTTACAGTTTTTCACTTCTTCTTTTCTTTCACCTTGTACTTCAGCGAAGTGTCAGGGGGAGATGTAACATTTGTTGATGAGCTCTGTCAAGAGCACTATTGAGACTGATGTTCATTTCTGTAAGGCTGTTCTTAATGCCATAACTCCTTCTTTTCCTAGGTATTCCACTCGCTCTATGGTACCAGGGCATTTTTGTTAGGTGTCCAAACACTTCATTTGTTGTTTTTTCATGACCTGTAAGACTGGCTTTTTTCATAGCATTTGTCTGATTTCGGGATTTCGTATTCTGTATTTCCTTGAAACTCCTGCAGCTCTTCTTAGGCATTTCATCTCTGTTATCACAATTTTACATTCACTGGAGGATGTAAGTGTCAACGGTTAGCACTGATAGCATAGTGTTGGCCAAAAAATAGTTCTGATAAGATTCACTTTAGTACTTCAAGGTATCTGCTTGTGTGTCAACAGGAAAGATAGTTGCCCCATTACTTGATTAGCTTTCCCACATCTCGAGCTAATTTCTCTGTCCAGTTTTCCATCGGATGTGAAAATTGCTCCCAAATACTTGAATTCCTCTTTTTCTCTTAAGGTGTTGTTTTTTAATTTTATTCCTCAATTGTCTTATTGTCTTTCTATCACCATTGTCTCTGTCTTCATAGTGTTTATTTTCATATTATATTCCTCCCCTTTGTTGTTAATTTGATTTAGGTGGTTCTGTAGGCATTCCATACTTTTTGCTTAGAGTACCTAGTCGTAGGTGAATAGTAATTCTGTAATATTTTCTTCATGATTAAAGTTTGTTTCCTTACATATGATATCCAAGTATGTTATAAAAAGAAGTGGCGGCAGTACACAGCTCTGACACACATTAGAGTTCTTTTTCACTGCTGACAAATTATAAGTATTCTACTTACAGTGTGTTATCCTTCCTCTTTCTCTCTCTCCCTTACTCCATCCATCCACCCAAATGCTCCCAGCCAGCCCCCTATCTTCCACCCACTCATCCAACCATTCACACACATACTCCTTATCCATACATCTATGCATCCACAAACCCACCACCCGATCCATCTATCCATCCATCTGTCTATATGTGCATGTGTGCTGTGACAGTGTTTGTGTGCATGTATGATGTATACACACACATAAATAATGATGATGTGTAATTTAAATGTCTGGCATACACATATTAAGATAATAAAAAGTTAAGGTAAAGAATGAACAAACCGTTTTGATCAAAATGTCATACACCAGGTTAATGAAATCAAATTTCAACCCAGGATCTTCTGTTGTATTGTAGTCCTTTAGGGGCTCTATCTGGAAATGGAAGCACTAACTCATATGTGATTGTAAAATCAGCAACTGAATGAATGAATGAATAAAAAGGTAAAGGTAAAGTTGGGAGATGTGAACCAGTGTCATTGCACACAGTTATAAACCATAAGTGCTCTGCCACCAGTACGGACAGCTGATAAGAAACTATCCACCTGTGTCGCCCTCCACACATAACTCTGTACCCATTTCCTAGAGGCTGGGTGAACCCTGGGAACCGCCCAGTTTCGAACACAGACCGTGGCTGCGGCGAGTCGCAGCTGGATTCGAAAGTGAGCCTCCTATCGACTACGCTAACGCAACTCCCAATGAATGAATGACATCACTGCACTTGGGACATTCTCATATGTGCTCTGTCTCATAATCTTGGTAATCTTAGTTTTAGCTTTATAGCAAACGGGTCACTCCATAGCTGCTCCGCTCCTGTGCCAACGAAAAACAAACAGAATGTTTATCACAGTCCCTTGTGGAAAGACTGACAGAGTGCTGTCTCAGCATATGCACTAGTATGCACATGCATTAAAAGCATATGGTAGCCATCCGAAGTGCTAACACAAACAGTCTGACGTTAGAAATGCAGTTCATCATCGATAGTAGCAGAAGTAACCAACAGATCAGCAGTTGCACACGCAATCACTTTTAATCACATAATGGCACCACCAATATTGCGACAACAGGCATCGCGCCATTTTCTGAAACTACAATTCACACCACCACGTTGGTCACAGTCCAAAAACATTCCAAATGAAATCTGCAGCTCACAGTATTGCACCATGCACTCAACTCAGCAACTTATCAGCACAAATTAACTCCCTCTCTCTCTCCTTAACATTCACTGACTGTCAACTTTGGTTGAAAATTCTGGTTCTCGTCTACTCCTGGACTTCGGTCTTAATCAAGAACTTGAGTTTTGCATGCATATCCATTCTATAGATATAACCTATTTGTATGCAGGCTGTTGGTTCCTTACCTCTGAGGCAGATGCACTCCAACTCTGAAGGAAACACCCCTAATTAGTCGCCTCCTACAGCATGCTTGTTGGGGGAAAACAGTGTAGAAAGACATAATAACAAATGCTAATGCACATGGTGAACAATTTTACTGATTTATGGATTCAAGAATCGACATCATAGCACACCCGGCATTCCCATAGATGCTAGGCCTCCCGCAGCAAATGACGTAACTGTTCTTGTAGCACACTGATTATCCACATGCTGATCTCTTCCTCTCATTTGCCTCTCCTTTCCAAACACACCCCTTATTCCTCGTTCCCACATTCTTGCCCATGTTATTTCATCTAATATCATGTTTTCTGCCAAAAGGCGTTCATATATGGTCTTCAGAATGTCTGCCTTGTCCAATAAGAGAGTTCCTGTAGCATTCGCTTTGGTAGCCAGAAAATCCGCTTTTATTCCCTCGTAATCCTGCATAGCCCAGACAATATATCCATGTGATTCCCTGCAATGTTGGTGTACTGATTCATGGTATCCACTCATGCCACATTAGTCCATTTTGAACCTTACGCAGTGTCAACTGAGAATAAGACAATAAAAATGCAAACAATAAAAAAGTATAAACCTCTGAAGTTTTAGTTATTGTCTGCATGAATATGTATAAGCAAGCAAGTAAATAAAAGTCACTTTTTATGCCAATGGCCTATCCGGCATATGATGCTAGGCTCATATTTTTGTAGACCAGTTGGCACTTGATGGGAGATGTGGTCAACATCATGCAGGCCATCTTTACTTTCCAGGAATTTCCAAGGTGCCCATTTTAGGTTTGGTTGACCTGCAAGCTAAGGTCCTTCTTGAAAAAATCTGACCACATGCAGATTCCAACCCAAGACCTTCGGGCCAGCAGGCCAGTGTCTAGCCCTAATGCTTAGCTACTCCCGTGGATTTGCATACCTTACCTTAAAAGATTCATTAAGCTCCACAAAAGAATCAAAGGTTGCAGAATAAAATTCAAGTAGCGATCGCCAGTTTCCAGATTCCTTAGCTTGCAAAAACTCAGCCCTGAAGTAAAAAAATCATTTCTATTACAAATTCAATCAATTTAGCAGTGAACAGAAAGATGCATTAAAATTATGAAATCAGACATGTCAATTCATTTTTTTTTTACTTTCTTTTTTTCATATTTGAACAAACTCGGTGGCAAAAATAGTTATAAATATTATACATCAGCTTTAACTGTTTTTTTTTTTTAAGAAGATACTGACAACAGAAAAAAAAAAAAAGATAGTTACTTCAATAATGATGCCGAAAAAGTCAATAACACTGCATATAATAGCTTCATTTCTCTTTTTCATCTTCTTCTTTTTCTTTGCGTTCATTGCTAAAGAAAGTTCTGGTTGTTCATACACTTCTGAACTTTAGTCTTGCTCCAGAATTTGAGTTTTGCGTGCACATTCATTTTGCAGATCTAGTTTATTTGTATGCACGTAGATGCACTCAAACTTCAAAGGGACACCCCTAAATAGTCTACTTTTATGACATGATTGTTTGGGGAGTGGAGGGGGGCGGTGGCAATGAGTCTAATGTTTCACAACTGGTCCCTGGAATCCACATGGAGAGGCTTCATTTTAAAATCACTGTTTAGAATTTAAACAATATAATTTGTGCATTTGGAGAAAAGAGCAGATACAGAAAAAGAAATATATAAAGTTTAAAAGAAGAACAAGTGGAGAAAATATAAAACATAACAACATTAATACAGTAAAACCTCATTAACATGAATTCCAAAGGATTGAAAAATCAAGAATTCATGTTAAAAATGGTGTGCTAACTGGGAACTAATGATAAGACAACTCTGCTGAGACCAACATTTTGTTCATATTAATAGTGTTTTTTAACTCTTTTCAGTCCAGAGCATTATTACTGTACTCTTTATTATCTAAAGATGTTGAGCTTAGAAGCAATCAGTATTTCAGTTTGAAGAAGTTCAAGAGATGAAATTAAATAGAAGTAGTTGAACTAACAATTCAGATACAGAGGGTTAACATAACACTTGTCTGTGATGGAAGACATCAAGAAATTCATGTTTACTTTGGCATAACCAAGAAAGCCATGGTGAGTTGCCTGGTACTGAAAAAGTTAAATGAGTTTTTATTGTATGCTGCCAACAATATCAGTTTTTGTGAGGAAAGAAACAGTTACTTTGTCCATTCTCTTTCAGGAAATATGTGTCATTGTACTTTGTTTCTGCATGGCAATAATGCAATTTTTACACTCAGATCAAAGTATTCATATATGCTTACAAAAAACTATTATTCTTATACAGTTGAAATCTTGTCTGTGACATCTATACCACTAGATATTCTAAATATTTAAGCTGTCTCATTTTATTTTATTTATATATATATATATATATATATATATATATATATATATATATATATATATATATATATATATATATATATATATATATATATATATATATATATATATAAATATATTCTATGTATTTACACACTTGAATTGCCTTCTAGATTCTACAGGAAGGCCTTTGTGGTTAAAGTATGACCTGTTCAGACAGAGCTGGTGTCGTTTCCTCAGCTTCTACATCAAGGAAAGGTTTGGTGAAAGAAAATAAACGAGTAATTGACTTTCTCCACACTGTGAAATTTTTATCATAAAAATATCCATTATTCTTGGCTGATTGATTAACATTTCTTCTTTCCTAAAAAATTAATTTCTTATTGTTTGAATTTTGCAGTAAGGTTTTCTAACTATTGAGGTAGTCAGATGTCTTCTTCAGCTCTCAGAACCATTTTTCAAAACTAAAGAAGCTTCTTAAAAACCTAAAATAAAATGAATGTTACATACTTCAGTTCCTCTGCTGTCTTCATTACCATTCCTTTGTTCTCTTTGCCTCCTGTAACATCATTTAATTTGTTCAAGATATTGGTGTCCACGTTTGGACTCCGTAATCTTGGAGAATGAAGCTGGACTTCATCATTGTAATGATGATGATGAGAGTAAATGTGACCTTGACTGTCTTCATTTGCATCTGATCTATGACCTCTGTGATGCCACTTTTGCTGAATGCAGTCTGGGCCACATGATGAGGATGGCCCATGCAGATGAGATGACGGAGTACGTGTGTTTCTTCCATCTCCCTGTCTCTGGCTGTGTCCGTAGACTGGTATTGTATTTTGATTTGGGGTGGTTAGATGTGACCGGCTGGCACCTTCTATTGGGGGAAGGGTGTCTCTCACAGTGTCTGATGGAGAAGATGTACCACTGTGTGAATCTTTCACTGTCCTTCGGCTTCCAGGAGTCAGACTTTGGAAAAAGTTGCTTATTGTTTGTAATCGACCACTGGTATTTGGTTCTTCTGTTTCATTTGAAGAAACCTTAAAAATATGATAAAGATAAGTTAATTTTTGACCTACTGTCCCAGATATAACTTCATAATGTATATTTAGCTGTTTCATACATAAGACTGCTTGTGTGCATTTTTTGTTTTTACAAAGTTCATCAATGTTAAAAAATCAGAATAGTTTTTTTTTAAACACACGCAATTCTTCTTCTTTGTTTTTACCAGCTGTAAACTCCAGTGTAAGGTTCTGGTTGTTCTCCATATTGGGACTTTAGTCTTGTTCCAGAACTTGAGTTTTGCATGCAAGATCCAGATTGTTTCAAAGCAGACTGTTGGTTTCGTGCCTCTCAGCAGATGCACTCCGAATTTAAAGGGGAACACCCATTATTGGTCAACCTTTATGACATGCTTTTGTTGGTTTAGTGAGGGCGGGGGGGGGGGGGGCGGTTTGGGGGGGGGGGGCAGTGGGTCTTTTCTATTTTCCACAAAATGTTGTTCACTGTTATCTTTCTTTCTCTCTACATGCCTCAGCAACTGCAGTTTAGTTGAGTGATCCTCACCCACACATGACTGGTTTGCATCAGGCTGCTGTAGCCATTAACGTTGCCCCAGTTATAACTTATCTGGGGGTTGAACAGGTGTCAAAGTTTTGCCCTTTTATTTGCCATCTGGATTATGATTTTGTAATTTCAGGGTGTCAAACCTCCAGGTTGCAACCCAGAGGGGGAAATAATAATAAAGTATCTTGTGTATATCCTTTAAAATAAAATGTTATGATAGTAGAGTCAATGGTGCTCCACTGGAGACCATCGAGGAAAACAAAAGGATCCTACAAGTTGATATGGAATGGCGGAATAGACTTTGAGCTCTATATAATTTATAATCAGGGGTCTCTATGGCAGAGAGGTCCAGCCATTTGCCTTTCGCTCTGAAGGCCATGCGTTTGTTTCACGGCTGCATTGTTCAATTCACAAGAAATTTTTTTTAACAAAGATGCCTGGGATCATCATCGGAGTTATGGAGTTTGTGCTTTGTGCGATGCTCTCAGCAGACGGCCAGCCATTCTGAGGAGAGAGACCAAACCATATGGGATAAAACCAGGTGCATGAAGTCGATCCCTTTAACTTTAACTTTAGGAACATATAAATGTCACAACAGGATGATAGTTTTTAATGGCCATAACAAACACTGTTTATCAGTTTCACAAACGAATCCTTACTGATTTTCGTTTAGACTGCTTTTCGCGATGCTGTCCACGGGACTGCCTGTGATTATTTCTGTGACTGTTTCTTGAAATCTCTGCCGCCTCCTTGCTGTAGAAATTACCACACCTAGGGCAAATAGTTCTTTTCTTGCCAGACGCCTGCACAACCGAGTATTCGCATGTAGGGCATGTAACTATACCGTCTGCTGACCCGTTTTCGTTGGTTGCCATACGAATTCTTCTTCTTAACTTTACTAACGTGAAATTTATCTTCAACAAAAATTCATAATCTAAAGAATAAAATGCTTGTTTTTCACAACTAAGTCTTGGTGCCTAGCCTACAAAAAAATCTAGTTAAAAGATAAAAAATAATAGAGTAGTTTCACCTAAATATAATCAATCAATCTGTAAACAAATACAGTACTCTACGTCTTGATAGAAACTAACTATCGATCGCCAGTTACTGTGACTTCCACATAACGTTCCGCTTCATTTCTCAGTAAGTACGAATAACTGTAACACTGCTCACGATATGTTGCAATCCTAGTTTAATGCGAGCTACGGTAGGGCACAAAGCTGAATAATCTTGCCTCCGATCGAACCCGTCAGGGTTCCAAACACTTGGTGGATCGATCAACTCTGATGATGGGACGTTTAGCGTCAGCCCTCCCTGTTTGTTACCTGTACCTGACGTCACAGACTGATCAGGTGTTTGTTCAATTGATCGATTGCCTAGTGCTAGTATCGCGGAGGTCTGTTTGAACACAGATTTTAACGTTTGCCGGTACACAAGAGAGGTCGAATGCATTATTTTTCTGTGAAGGGACGCATAAAAGACAATATTTAGATGACCTACCAGCAGATGTGGGGCCTCATGGCATAGCGGCTAGATGCTCGCCTGCAGGTCCCAAAGTCGTGGTTTCAAATCTCAACGGGGCGTTTTTTTTTTCTTCAGAATAGCTCTGAAGTCAACCTAGCCTTTTAGGTACCAGGTAAAAGTCATGGGAAGTAAAGGCGGTCGGCGTGATGCTAATCACATCACCCACCAAGTGCCGAATGGGCTATAAAATATAGGTCTAACTCTATACACCTGAAGGCGGGGAAAGGGATCATTTACTGCCAGCAAATGTAGAAGCTGTAGCAACGAAAGGAAACCTCAGAGAGTTTTGCTTAATAAAGAGACAATGTATTGATTAGCACTAATAGAAAACAGTAGAATGATAGAAGGACACACTAGACAACATACAAATTGAAAGCTATAGTTACCGTGCCAGGAGATCGAACCTGTTACCACCGAATGGCGAGTGCGCCTCGCTATGGAAACAATCGCACTAAGAACAAAGTCAAATTTGTACCCCTCCCTCCACCCCCCCCCCCTCTTCCCCACAAAAAGGTATCCACTTTGGCATGATTATCGTACCGCTTGAAATTCACAACTATGGGATACGGACAGAAATCATCTCAAACCATTGAAATGGCACCATAGGTTATAGACGTTTATACTAACAAAGCAAAGGTCGAAAAACAAACACAGCAGTCCTTAATTGGAGCATGTCGACAAAGCCAGGTCGAGATCTTAGTAGATTTGTTTGTAAAAAAAAAAAAACGGGAAAAAAAGTATTACTGTCAATACTGTCTGCTATACAACCTTTTTATGGCGGTGTAGACAGGAGGGTCGTAAGCCTGAGGAGTTAGGGTCGCATGGATAGTGCTGTCGTCACAGACTGTGCAGGTTAAGATGTTTAATTTTGCCCCCGACATAAAACCCCGACATAAAAACTCCAGCATTTAACCAAGGATCGAGTCTGGATCTCCCGTATGAGACCCCGACGTTTGATTTGTTTGTAATTAGTTTTAATTTTGTAACTAAAGTTTTCTACGGCACGAGGTCTCACGCCACACCCTTCTTGGTTACCTCTCATGACTTAGTGTTCCGATGTGGATGGGTTCAAATAATAACACTATGGGATAAACAAAAAATAACAGTTGGGAAAGAATAGATTAAAGCTACTACAGGATATGGTACAAGGTCTAAAACCGATGATTAGGCATGGCAGAATGTTAATCTTTGAAGTTATTTCTGCTTCCGACAGCGCTTTGCTAATGCAGTTTCCTCATATGGATTGTAGTCTACGGTTTTGCTGACTGAGCTACTAATTTTAGTGCTTGGTGCAGCCCAGTGAGCAGTGTTTTTCATGCGGAATGCCTTTAATTTGGGCAGCGATTGTATCGTGGTATTCAATATGGCCGGTAGCCAGTTTACGTGTAAGCTGGTGAAATACCTTATGCATTTCTCGTGGCGACTCTTGGCTTTGGCGCGTCTAGCAACTGCCATATCCATTTACTGCGTGCGCATATTTCTGGATGGTTCCGGAACTAACTGTTTGTGCATCGGTTTTTAAAATGGGACAGTGAAGGACATTTCATTTGATTTGCACTGGCACAGGAACGGAGCAAGTATGGGGAAACCCGATTGCAGTGAAGTTGAAAACTCGACTAAGAAGACTATGTGTACATGGTGTCGCAAAAGGCGTTCCAGAAATATCTGTCACAGCATTAAAATCTTGCTCTGGCGATCATACTACGCGCCTCGCTTTGGAAAATCGCCTCATCCACAGCCTAGGCGTTCTTAGTCCAGGTGGTATCAATATCCAACATACCTTCATCTAAATAGTTATACTCTTTTCACATTTTAAATGTTATTTATTTCATATTATTACTTTGTTCTATTTCTTATCAGTATCATTTATATATCATTAACATTTGTATTTCTTTTATTCCCAGTATTATATTATATATTAACAATACTACTATTTAATATTTTTTTGTGGCTTTTTTATTTCATTTATTCCACATCACATTTTTTTAAACGTTGCTCACGTCACCCCTTAGAGATCTACATACTCTCCTCTCCTCGTTGTTACGTCTGTGTAGTTCAATTATGTTTGAAAAAGGCTGCCCGGCCGAAACGTTACGTTGTGTTGTTCTGTGCACGTTTTTCTGCTCCCCCTTTTGTTGAGATTTTTGGCCAAATTTCCCTGGAATTCCTTGTATCAACTTGACTGCAGTCACTCCCATATTTTCGCAAAAGGCGTAGCGTGTCAGGCGATTTCACTGAACTGATGGTGTGTTGCTTGGTATTGGAAGAGTTAATAAACAGCTGAGGAGTTTAACAAGTTTTGGCGAGCTCACACTAAATAGATTCTGCATTGCTCAGATAGCCACAAGATGCCCAAGGATAAAGCAAAGCAGTAAATTAATTCACCACTTGAAACGTTATTTGCGAGCCTCAGATAGGCCGTTGAGATCATTGAAAGACAATGGGTGCACCATGAAATCCAACATATTATTATTATTAACTCGTAAAGGGAATATATAAAAACATAAAATGAAAAGTTCTTCATATTAAAAAAAAAAAAAGGCAAGACGGTGACTATGGTGCCTTATATTACCGTTTCAATTTTCTTCAACCCTTTTAGACATTATTATTATCTCATGGTCTAGGAAAATGCATAGTCCTCTAGCCTACATTGTAACAGCTGTAAACCTATATGGTATGTTATCTCAACTGATGTCATTGTGCATTCCCATAAGTGATCAGTCCTCCTCCGATGCAGCAGCCACTCCAAGGTACTTCTACTTATTGTTACCATGAGAGGTTGGTTATAATGTCTCCCATCTCGGCCTTGAAGGCAGCATAGACGTGCTTCATCGTGCTTTATTTCCATGTCACGCAATCGTGCTAGTGTCAGAGATTGGTTATTATCAGTAAGTCCCATCTCTTGACCCCAACTCAGCTGCACGGTGTAGCAGCTAGATGCTCGCCTGTGGATCGGAAGGTCATGTCCTGATTGAGCTGGACTTCTTTCAGAAATTACCTTGGTGTCCAGGTCGACCCAGCCTTTAGTGGGCACCAGGTATATTCATGGGAAGTAAAGACAGCCGGCGTGATGTTGACCTCATCACCCACCGAGTGCCGATTGGTCTGTAAAACAGAGGTCTAGTCCTATATGCCCAAATAAGGCGTGGCAAAGGGTCTTTTACTTTTACAAGCAGCTGGAACTAATTTTTCGGTGTCCTATTTTTCGTCATAGTCTTCCTGCCTTGCAACACTTGTAGTCGACTGATCCACAAGACTGTGGATGCCTGCCAGGTAGAAGCTGTCGGGTATGGACAGTAACCAAGTTTGTACCATCGACATCACTCCATTGCCATCCGCAAATCTCTGACCCCGCAAAAATTCTTTCAATGGGCCAGACAAATAAACGTCTGATGGTGCCAAGTCTGGGCTGAATGCTGGATGTTTCAATATTTCGATAGATTTCTGACGTTTCAAAACCCTCTGTTAAAAAAAATATGAATAACACCTCACCGCTCTTCCACGGTGCATGTTAACAGTGCTGTGGCCATCTTGAACAAGCTGTTGAGCATGTACATACTGCTAAATTACCACAACACGTACTTTGGGTATTGCAAATGGACCAATTATGTGTCCTGAAATAATATTATTTATTCTGCATACTAGGATAAAACTGCTTTTATTTAATGGCATCCCACAAGTTAGGGTTTGAGATAACTTTTTATGTATGTTTAATTTATGTATTATCTTCAAAATACATTCCTCCTTGATAAATCATCATCATGTAGCAGGTCCATAGCAGAATGTCGCTCTCATCACGGCCTGTCTGAAAGAAACTCGGTCTCTCGCCAGCTCTCCCGCCTCATGTACTTTCATACTCAAGGAGTCTCTTGTATCCTGTGCCCATCTTCGTGTCGGCCGGTCCCTGCCCCTCCTTCCTGGTACCATGCCTTCTGCTATAATTGTTTCCGATTGTGATATTTTTCAGTTTCTTCATAATTTATTGTTATTTTTGGATGGCAGCCAGTTTTACCTGTGGGCATTATTTTCGTTTTCTTTAAATTCAAGAACACGATAAATACACTTGCTTAAACAGTACTTCAACTTCTTTATGCCTTCCGGGTAAGCAATTTTCGAAATGATCAGCTTCCTGATCACAGCACACCTCATGTTTTCTACTGTCTGAAAATGCCACTGCTACATCTGTGAAATTTTAACTTTTTTGGTTAGGGTTAGGCATACCAACACTTTCTCCAGATTATAACCAGACTGTGACTGGTACTATCAGTACTGGAACTCTGCGCTGGCTGCTGAAGACGAGGAAGATGGGAATGCCCCGAGTGCTGTGATGTCAATTCTTAACTAAACGTTC